TGAAAATTTAAATATTCGTATTTAAAAACCAAAACAATAAAAATATCTAAAATTAAATGTAAGTGTTATAAGTGTCCAAGCATTGGTATTTTTATCTTACTGTGCAAAATTTCGCATGTTTATTTAATTATGATAGATTTATAAGAGAAAACCTCTAAGGTTTAGACAAAATAAGGCAATTCGCTTTTCGAGAAATACGACACTCAAAAAAATGCTTTATTAATCTAAGTAGAATTCTGAATGTCAGTTAAAATTTATGGTTGTTATTTATATCTGCTAAAAAAAATTGTCTGTGGTACGTAGAATTTACAGCAGCGGTATTTTGGCAATAACTGCAAGCAAATTTAAATGAATGTCATTCGTTCGTCTCTCGTTGCTAGTCTTTTTTTATTTATCACAATCACTTTTACAGGAAATATGACAAACCTTAATCTGGATTTATGTACCACAGGTTTTTTTTTTGATAAAACCTTTACAAATAATTTAAATATAAATCCTGACTCTGTCATCTATATTAATCGAATACAAAATATATGCGAATCGCAGTGTTTACTGATCATTAATTCATCTTAGCTATATCTCTAGATACTTTCCGCCACGATCGCAAGACCATTTTTTCGAGTGAATAGAGAAGAATTAACAAAACTATGATGTCCCATTTGCTAGAACGCATTCACGAATTTTTACAAGTAAAGAGCAACGCTCGTCTACGGTTGTAAGCCAAGTGTAATTATTCATACGAAATAAATATGTACTATTACTATATGTTGGTGTGATCTCCAATAATTATTTTGACAGTGTTGCCCTAAGCGGCTTATTTTGCATTTTTGCGACGTGATAGGAGCAGAAAAATTGATATTTACAGCGTTTAATAATCTTTAACGAGGTAACGCGCGCCCGATTGTCGCGAGATTGATTATAGCTCGCGCGTTCATAACGCTCAAAAATAATTAATCGCGAACAGTGGTCGTACAATCGCACCGGCCGGATCGCGTCTATAACGGTTCGCACTAACGATGAATTGTTATGTACTTTTATTGTTTCTATTAAGTTGAAAATAATGCCGCGGCCGATAAGCCAGACTGTTAAGCACGCGATAGTCGGAGGCTGGCTTATTATTTTTCTGTCGGCTTATAACGTTCGTTTAGTATGTTGGGAATCTGTTTACGATATCTCATTACAAATAATTACGAAGCATAAAGGTATCAAATTTCTAAGAATGAAAAATTTATAAGAGTTTTTAGTACGCGAATTTTATTCATTGTTATACACAATATAATAACTTCAACATTACAAATTAATTTAGAACGTTGCAGACGTTTCGTAATAAAAATTATAACAAAATTTTTGTAATTATCATACAGAACTTTTGTTAAAAAACGATATGCTCGTCTGAATGTTTATTATAACATTATTTTGATTACTTGAATGTATTTTATTTTGTAGATATCGTGTCGAATTTATTATTATAGTATTACTGTTACTTTTTACAGTAACTTGTGCTATCACTTCAAGTAGCACAGAAAACGTTCTAAGGACAAATATAATTAACGTAATTTTCACTACAATATTTTCTTCGTGTACAAATAATTATATTCTCCATGTCAGTATATATGGGAAGGTGAAAGTGTGTTTTAGTATCTTTTCTCAGGTCCTTCTCCATCTAACATCATTAATCGACTCGCAATATTTCTAGCACCTTCGACGAATTTAATTTCACAGTGACTGACAATCGACAGACAAATTGCCCGGCAAGATCGTTTATTTCGGTCTTAACGGGCAATTTATATAACAGACACTGACGCTCACTGCAATATTTCCCATGAAATCACATCTACGCATTCTGCGGATTGCGATCTCGCGACATAAGACGATTCGTTTATCCCACTATACCCAAGCAGATGTACTGCTGCGGCAGCACGCACTTCTCCGAGGTCGGATCAAACACCAGGGTGTTCGGACACGTGAGATTACCCATTATAGCGTAACGGATGCCGTCCCAGTAGCACAGGTAATACTTCTTGCAGTTCACGTCTGGTATCGGGAATCTTCCGTATCGCATGCAGGGTGCCGCGGTAGTCGGCGGCGCCAATGTCGTCGTCGTCGTTGTCGTCGTTTGTAAGCACATCGCCCCAGGTAGGCATCTACCCAGAGTAGGATCAAATATAGCTGTTGTGGCGCATGAGAGTATCACTGCTACCAGGTTCATGCCATCGTTTATGCATATGTAGTAATTCTTGCACGTTCCGTCGTAGATCTCGAAGGTGCCATATTCTGTGCAGGTCACCGGAGTCGTTGTTTGTGGGCACGTCGTCCCGGTTACGCATCTGCTTAGAACAGGGTCGAATACGGCCGTGGTGGCGCATGCGAGCACCACCGGCACTATCTTCTCGCCGTCGTTCACGCATATGTAATAATTCTTACATGTTCCGTCGTAGATCTGAAAGGCGCCGAGGCCTAGGCAGATCGGCGGCACTGTCTGAGCTTCCGCGATCCCGATCGGGCAGAGGAAGAACAGGAAGCACGACAGAACGAAGACGAAGAAGCTCGCCATGTTGCGCTGCGTGTGGTGCTGCATGAAAGATTCAACGCGACTGTTTTTGATGCATTCACAGCGATGAGTTTTATCACGTTCCCGTCGCTTATCATATATTATGGGCTGGTTTTAACTAGGATCTAAGTCAAGACAGCTGTACATCCAAATATAATTGCGTGCAGATAACGCGAGGACGCGAAGACGACTCCTCGATTTCCTCGCAAACTTCCACGTCTTACTTACAACCTAGTAAGCATCAAGTAACAGTAACGTAACGTCAATGTTACAATTTCCCACTCAACAATATAACTATTATATTGTTGTGTTATGGAACAGTTATATTGTTGAGTGGGAAATTGTACCATTGATGTTATATTACTGTTACTTGGTGTTTACTGGGAATCGATGCTAAAACTCTTCCCACCGGGGAAGTTCTTATATATTGAAACTCTTTAAGAATTTTCTTCTCTCAGAATTTACTTCTTCAGAGATGAATTTATTAAAGTCAGGAGAAATTCTGACTCAATTTTCAAGTGAGATAGATACGACATCTATCATATGAATCAATCATATAAAGAGATTCCTTTTCTTCATATTATAGAATATTTTTGCGATAAATGTTCATTCATATATATTTATTCATATATATTCTATATTACACACTCATATATATTCGATACTTGTTTATTGTAATGTTTATTATATCTTTAGCGACAATGTTTGAGTTTAAAAAGAATGTAATGCGTTTAAATGTATACGTACGTGCCAGTAACCCTGAAAAGATTAATGGGGGTTTTGCTAGCTTTACTCATTGACGTTCTTTGACTTCCTTCTAACGTAATCAGACAATAATTTAGTGTCATATGTCACTGTGACTCGATAAAAATGTGAGCGCTGCATACTCGATGTCGTGAAATCGAGACGGCGGCTGCGCATCCCCGACGATCCTTTCCAGGTGAAACGATTCCGCGTGCCCGCGCGCGCGCGTGCTTTTGAACGCGACCTTACGACGAGGAAACCGAGGGTGAATCCACGGAATACAAAATCGCCAGAAAGCGACGAGAAAGTCGCGCTGGGTTTTACTGTCTGAACGTAACATTGCTCGCGGTTGTGCGTGCTGGCACCGCGCGTCGATTATGCGTGCATATTCTGCACGTCCGTACGCATCGGGACGAAATAGGTCGGCGTATGCGTATTCCGCGTATGTCGCGGGGATTTATGTTGCTTCTTGTCTCTCCGTTTTGAAAATTCATTTCACCTCTATTGCTTGCCGTTGATTGTACAAACGCTTGAGTGATGATTCTGAATTACCAAAAATCGCGCTAAATAAATGTAACCTATTTTATTTTTTCAATTAAAAAATTTTTTAATTTAAAGTTTCAATTTTTAATTAAATTTACTCATTTCTAATCAATTATTTTTTAATATTAATTATTTTATTAATTAATATTTTCAATCATATTAATATTTTTAATCAATTCCGTTTAATTTTTAATTTTCAAGATAAATTTCTTTTTATTCTTTTAATTTTTTATAGTCGTTTTATCGGCTCTTTATAGAGCCCGTACAAGCAATTTTTTAGACCCAATTATTTTACTTATTACTTAATTATTTTATATATAACTTAATATGCTACACACAGAAAATAAATATAACGCATGACACTGTACTGAAATATAAAACAGTGATCAAGCATCACTATAAGAAATCTTTATATTTGCATGACGGATATCCCAATTTTCGAGTCTTGATTCCAGGTAGTACTCCCCGTATTTACATTGTCATTGGGGGAGTTCTCCGGGCAGACGGTGAATCCCTTCTTCTTCCTGTGTAACAGCTAGTTCGGAAATTAGTTACTTACATAGAGGAATCCTTCACTGGAGCGGAGGGAAAGGTGCGACGGAAGGGAGATACAAAGAGGGAGACGAAGAGAGAGAGAGAGAGAGAGAAAGAGAGAGAGAGAGACGGCAGGAAAGAAGGAGAGAAGCGCAGATGTATATAAGTGACTTGGGTTGAAGACGCTCCAATGGACTCTCTCTTTGACCTTAGTCAAGTGCGCATCTTTCCTCCCATTTCCTCCATCCCCGTTCCCCCCCTCCGCGTATGTGATCTCGCACCTTTTCGATCCTGCGTCCTTCCACTTCAACCTTCACCTTCGCGCGGCGAGGAGGAGAATCCGGGTCCTCGCGCTCTCGCCGGTCGCGCTTTTGCAGTGCCGCGAGGATGACGGAGTAGGACCGAGAGTTTCGCGCGAGAGAGATATTCAGTTTTGCCGCGAGGAGAGATACAGGACGAGCAGTGAGATTTCGCTTGCCGCGTGCGACTTGTGACATGTTTCTAACGGGAAGGTCCTGACTGTGAGAGAGATGGACCCTCGAACAGTGAGTAGTAACAGTAATAATGGCAGGAGACGTCGTTTATTTTAACATAAAGAGCTGTCAGTGGAATCGTTAGCATTGTCGATGATACTGCCACTGTGATCAATCAATGTGACATCCTAAATTTATCTTGAATTGTTACCAACTTGCTGTCCAATCGTGAAGTTAATAAGCGAGTCGTTTCGATAAGTTTCATAAAATCATTTCCATTGTGACTATGAAACGTGGAAATCTATGAACGCGTATCTGGGTTCTTCTTTTTCGTCGTAATGTTCCTCGCAATGAGGATAATGAGGCAAATTGTGCGAGCCGAAGGACCACGAAGTAGCGGGAGGTATTGTGAAGTAGTCAGACTTGGCAACGTAAAAAAATATGTATGCCGTACTTTCGAATTTAACTTACATTGTATATACTCAGATAGACAGGTACGTAAATTTGACAGCAATCCAGATAGAATTTCAGGTGTACATAACTTTAGCAGCAATTTTATTAGTCGATTTGTAAGAACTGCACCCTTTATGAGTGATTCATATGGCATTTACATTTATCACATAAAATGACTAGATAAAAATAGGAAAGAAATATTAAAGAAATGTTCGAAATTGGTTGAAAACAATCTGTCATGTAAAATATAATGAATATCTGAGTGTAACTAAAAATTCTTATTATTGTACGATATAAATTTAATGATTAATGCAATATATATATTTGGTTCACAAATATAACGAAGACAATGGTAGAATCTCTATTTTTTATTGTCTCATGTCGCGATAATTATGAAAGTTTGGGAAGCGCCGTTTCGCCGGTGAAATCGCCTCGAATTTGTTTGCATATTTGATACGCACGAGTGACGAGTACCGTTATAGTAAATTGATGATTACAATATAATGTAGATAATTATGGAAAAGTGATTGCACCCGAGCGCGCGCGCGCGCGTGTGTATGTGTGCCTGTGTGTGATTCCATGGACTAAGTGTGTTTTTTTTTCAAAATCTATTGTACCACAGACCTTGTGCAAATCGATTCACTCGAAATTTCGAAGTTACGCTCTCCTTTGGGACAGATCGATCGGATCTCGCTGAAATCATTTCACGAAGTCATGTTCTTTAATTAGCCAACATCGTCGGAGTGGTATGTTAATGCTGTGTCTCGAAAGCCGCGGCTGATTTATGCACGCCATGAATCGTCGATCGCGCACGACGAACAAGCGACAAAGAGGTACGTCGCTTTCGAGACGAACGATCGTGCCGTTCGGCACGGCGCCAGTTGAACAGGGAAACTCTTTCGGATGACCTAAATCTGTCGCTTTCCGATTCGCACACCTCATCCAGCCGTGATTTCCAAAAACTTGCGCGGCAAAGCGCGGAAGCCTCGCCGGAGCACTCTGCGCGTATCGTCCTGTGGGATTATTGTTCGGGATATCGCCGGTTTTCTCCTTCCATTTGTTCATGGAGGATTAAAATTTGACGCGTCTGTCCTCTTTTGGACGACATCCATCATGTCGCTGATGCTGTGCTCCACGGCACTAGTTAGCTCGCCGCACTAGTTTCAGTTCCGAGTACACACAGGTGTGCTGTTAACGGATGAAGCACGGGAGCGCGAGAAATCATCTTCTCAGAAGAGGAGATTTTAGGCTTACTTTCTATTGTCACGCTTTATGGGGCCGGTTTTGATTGAAGCCCATCTGCACGTGCGTTTGACGTCTCCCAACGAATCTGAAGAGCTATTTATCTACTTCAACCCGGCGTCAACTTTCAAACATAGAAACCTTTTGCATTAGCTCAGTCAAAAAGTTCGTCTTTTTTGTAAACGTCACATACTTTGTAATACAGGCAACGAGATTCTAATAATATTTCGCTGTCAGAATGGAAGATCATCGACAACGATTAATGCTCGTTGATGACCCGTAAACAACCCGTAGCGATATTAATCACGAAGGAATTATTCGTCAACTGTCGCTTAGTATAGAGAATAATAATTTTATTACTTCAGCTTACAATGCCAGAAAGGAACTTGGTTTCATCTACCTCATTCACATTCATTCTATTCCTTATCGTCCTCCTTACATTCATTTCTTGTCCTAAATATTTAACTTATCCTATCAACTATCGTTTAGTAAAATTTGTATAAAAAAATCGAATCGGATATTTTGACTGACTTAATAGTACCTCGTGAAGAAGAGGAAAGGAAACGGTGTCGTCACACTCTTTATGACATTCAATGTTTCTACGAATTGTCAACATCGTGGCTCAAAGTGGGTGTATCGGAGAGGCTCGCGTGCCTAATTTATACTCGTGTGACGCAACGTGAGTTTGTTCTCGTGTGCCATTAGTTTGAAGAAACGCGACAAGTAAGCCAACGATTGCGTTGACAAAATAAAGGTGAAACCTTCTTCCGTTTGTCAGGCGCATCCTTTCGCGTGTTGTCAATACTGACACATTCGTCGCCAATGTGGGTCGTGCTTTCTTTGTGCGTATCTGACGAGACACTTCCCAACACCGTATAGATTCGGCCTTCATCTTCCCTTTTCACTTCGCGGGACCGACGCGATTGGATTTTTCAGAGCGAGAGATCTCGATATCTCTAATATTGCCGATCCGCGGATTCAATCTGCAGATAGCGTGGCGGCAACATAAAAAAAATATGTGTGCCGCACTTTCCAGTTTAATTCACATTGCGTATGCTCGGATAGACAGGTGTACGTGTAAATTAGGCAGCAACCCAGATAGACAGATGTACGTGAGTTTGACAGCAACTTATTAAATCGTTCTGCAAAGCTTGCGTCTCTTATGAGTGTAATGTGGCTCATATTACACTCATACGCATCATATAGAATGACAAGATAGGGATACTAAAAGATACTACGATATGAAAAAGATACTAAAAGAATCTAGAAGAAAGAGGGTTTCTTCGAAACAGCGTGTCGCGCAAAATGTGATATAAAAACCTGAATTCACTTGAGGAAAATCGCGCAGATTGTTAGAAGCGAACGCTCGATGTGTGTTGTATTTTCGTGACGCGCACGCCCAACTGGAGCAACTCGCGATGTAAATACGCTGACGTTAACTCTCACCGTCTCGACGCTCCTGCAATTGTCTCCCACACCCGTCCAAGCACCGTTAGGGCTCGTCTCTTCTACAAACTCCTCGAGATTCCCTTGATTTTCACTCGAGCGTTCCCACGGAATTGTCGAGTTTTGGAATTTGCTGTGAAAAGTGACAATGTCCTCTCGGTCTCAGACGCGTTCCGTCTGACGTCTCTCTGAAAACTTGTCGGAAAATATAGATCTTTCGGATTGTTACATGGAAAATGACTTGAGGTAATTGTATCCCTAATTACCATATTTTCAATGACGCATCCCCGCTCATTAATTTGCTATTACATTAAACAAAATTACATTCGCTTTATTACCTAATCACTATTAATTTGAAACGAAATCGAGAGATCTCAGATCAATCTTCGAAGCTCTCGTGGAGGCGGATTAATATAAAAGTCCTATATACTGTTTTATGATATTTGCGATAATTATCGAGATGTTAATTAAAAAAGATTTGTGAATGATCACGCGAGGGATATAGTGGATGGAGAGCTTCGCAGGTTATTCTGGGACACCCTGTACACGACTACCTCGATCGCAAATTTAACATCACTAGCGAAGAAAATGATCAGCAGCACCAGGCATCGAAAGTTTCGCCTTTGAGGATCCATTTCACGGGATATTTCCCCGAGATTTCTCGCGTGCGCGTCGCTAATCAATGATAATCGTTTCATTGCGGGCGACGTTATCCCAAGTAACGAGAGCACAGTCTCGTTATCGGCTGCGTTTAGCGCCACTGTTCGTTTTCCGAGCCGTGGCTCTCCGTATACACACGCACTCACACTAGCATGCGCGCGGTCCCGCGTTACATCGTCTTCTTTCACTGTGGACCCCTCGACTCTCGTAATACCCACAGCCCACTTACCTACATTACACGTTTCGAGTGTGTGCGCCCGTCACATCCACCGTTTGGCGACGAGTTCGCGCGCAGTGGCGTAATCAATTTTAATAATCGGACATTTCAGTAACGAATCTCTCTCCGCGGCCGTGTGAGATGTTCTTAATGACGAAGCGACCGCTATCAGCGACTGCATGCTCGTCGCTTTCGGCCGGACGTTTATTAGCATCTACAACGTGTACTCGTGTCACATTAATATCGGGCCGTCACGCGTCTGTGATAAATCAGGATCAACCGAGAATGCGCGATCATTAATTAATACAAATGATTATCATTTGCAGACTAGCGCGTTGTTTCCATATTTGAAATGACTAAGAAGCAGCTGTTGCTTATGAATGGTACAATTGTCTCGATTTATGTGTGCATGGAGAAAATATTACAGCAAAGGTTACATCAAAATTGTTGTAATAAATTATTATAATTCTCACTGTAATATTTTCTTCATGTACACTGAGAAAAAGGGTTTGGTATATGTGACTGTAATTGCATAAACTTTGTAATAAGGAAAACCAACGTTAGTCAAGAAAATCAGCATTAGCCAGGAAAATCAGTTATAGTCAGTTATTGTCAGGAAAAATGATAGCGTTAGTGATAAGAACTTTATACATACATATTGCTGCTACTACTCTTTTGTTGGAACAAAACAGAAGATGTTTGGTCTCGAGAATCACGGTAACTTAATGAGATTTTCATGCTGAGTGTAGAGAGAAACATGTTTGTTTAAGTTGCGTGTGTTCGCGCAATGTTTCATCGACGTGTCCTCAAAAATTGGTACCGCTTGAACAGCGAATTTATGTCGATGGATCGCAGCATTGATCGCCGACCGCCGACGTGATTACGCTGCTGCGAATGTGCCGTGCGCATTTTCTCATGTTGCATCTTCTGTGTCAAGACCCCGCGATCTCGTGTTGTGGTCGGCGGCAATGTATCGCCGTCGCTCGATGGAACCGTAATCTTTCGTCTAAACGAGCGTAACGTTTCGAACGATTAGGGGAGAGAAGAGAAGAGCTCGGTATGTTCAATGAACGAATGTCGGTTGTCGATGATGATGCTGATGAAATCACCGGTGTGCCAAATCCGCGTGCTCTCGCCCAGCTGTTTTCTCACCGATCTGGCCGAGAAATCGAATCTATCCGCTTCTCCCGTTGAATCCCGACTCGCTTCCCCGTGTCCTTGATCTCGAGAGCACTCGCAGAGGAATTGCTATTATTCTACGATCTGTGTCCGGTTAATAGCTGCCGGGTGTTCGTAGCCTACTGACATCTTCCATTAAATATCCGCCTCGGGAAACAGTGTCGTCTTGCGAAGGAAAGTGTCGGCGTCAGACGCTGAAGAAAAAGAAAACAAAGAAGAAGAAGAAGGGGAAGAAGAAGAAGGCTCACGGAATATTCAAACTGAGTGGAATTGACTCATGCAAATGTGTCGCTGATTATGAAGCTTTGTATTATTACGTGTACCAAGAGCAAAACGGGATGGACCGAGCTGCCAAGCTGATACCGTGAACGAAGAGTCGTGTGCGCTTTTAGTATCGCGCACGATTTGCGCATTATACGCATCGCAGTGACGCGAGGCGCACGTTGGCAGTAATTTGCATAATTCGCGGTCGTACTTAACGCATCATTAGATGGGCGCCTTTTACACGACTTTCGCGTGTATCTTTCCTCTTTTTTTCCGTTTCTTCACTTTCTTACGCGACTTCCGGTTCGCGGGACAAACACGGTCACCCACGACTACTCTCGTTCTCTCTCACGGGAAGGAGAGAGATCGAAAGAAGAAGCAAAGAGAGAGAGAGAAAGAGAGCGAGAGAAAAAAGAAAGAGAGCGAGAGACAGAAAGAGATAGGAGGACGGCACACATATGCGTGCGTACATATACACGAGGAACTAGCACGTGGAGCTCTCCCGTAGCGTCTCTTATTCAATTTACGTGAGAGAATCTCAGTGATTCCCAAGTCGGATACAGGATCGCGTCCTCTGATCTTCTCTTCTCGATCATTTCGTTCATTTTCTTCGCAGTCTCCCGCGACTTTCTTCTCTTCCCCGCTGCCACGTTGGTGGAAGAAACTCGCGCGAGCAATTGCGCGGAATCGAATCCGCGGCGCGTTCTCGACCTTACCACCGATATCGCGTTCGCATGCCTCTTGACCCGTTGCCTCTTTGCATCGGTAATCACTAGCTGACACGACTTGGGCTTTCCTCGAGCAGAGGATGATTGCGGAGTTCTGTATCGGCGAAATAGGTTGAACAGCCGTCGAACCTACCTCAATGGCAATCGCAAATTGCCTTTTCGCTCGTTTTAAAAGCCCGTCTGGGAATTGTGACGGGCGCGCGCGCGCCTCATCTGTACATGCGAGAACGCGCGAGCGGATAGCGCGTAAGAGGCGCTCGGCGTAAAACTGAACGACGTTTGCTTTAATAACGCGCGAAAGAATGTGGATTACCGCGACGAGCGTGTGATTTGCTGCTGGGTAGTTCGGTGGCTGAAGACAGCCGTGAACGATTGTTACTCACTTCGCAATGGGACGATTTTCACTGCGCAGCGATATGCGTTTCCTTGCGAGCGCGCGCGCGCGCGTATGCATAAATTACGAGCGGCCAGATCCGAAGTGGCGCGCTAAAGCGGGGTAATCAGCTGAATCCAGGACTAAGGAGAGGAAAACCGAGGTCCCAACGAAGACACCGCTGTGAAGTAACGAGGGAGAGAAGACGTCTAGTTTCGCGCACGGCATACATAATCCACGACGACGCAGAACGATTCTCACGGGGCGACCCACTTCGCTCGCGCATCGCGGCTTATTCTCCTTCCCGTCGCCATTGACTACTGTCGCGGGAAGTATACATAATAACATAACGCGCGCGGGCTTTCATTCGTCAAATGATACCTCGAATAATATCGACGTGCCGTTGCCGAGCGAGGAGAAAGACCGCTGTTAGGACGCGCATCCATTAACTTCAACGGCAATACACACGTCTCGTTTGTTTCTCTCCGTCGTGCATCCACAGATGAATGCGTGAAACGATCAAGTGACGTTATTAGCGGAAGATTCCACTGAACAAACTTTAAATTAATTGACATCAACGCGATTTTTCGCATTTTAGATCTTGTCATTTTGATTGTTGCTCACTCAAAAATGTATAATCTTACCTCTAGCGGAATCCTTCTGTTATGAACTTAAAAGGGATTTTTTTAAGTAAAAAAAATACTCTAACATCCAAATAGAGAATATATTATTCGCAAGGTACTTTCTGTAATCTTGTTTACTAAGCAAAAACTTGTATTATTCGCAAGATATTTTCTGTAATCTTGTTTACTAAGCAAAAACTTTTACCGAAAGAATAATTCTTTCTCTTCTAATGAAGAGGAGTAATATTGTGCTTAGAATATTTTCCTTCAGGTTTTAGAAGAACCCTCTTAAAGTCATATATAAGAGGATTTCGCTGAAGATGAGATTCTAGTTTTTGGGTGCTGGCATTCAAGATCGATTTTAACGCCACGCCTTTCCGCGTTTCAGGTCTTGCTATTTCTATTGTCGCTGGTATGCGCTCTCGGCGCATCCCCGTCGATCTTCAAGAACGGTCGGGACGGTCCCGACTTGATCCGACACACTCGCAGGATCGGCTTAAACGAGTATCTCGTCCCACCGCCTCTGCCAAAGTTTCCTCCCGGCAGGACCGCGAGGTTGGCTCCTCCGGCTGAGCAGCCGGGATACTTCGCGAAGCTGATGAGCTGGTTGAACCCTTTCAACTATGTTTCTGCGTCACCGCCACCGCTGCCGCCGCCGCCACCGCCGCGTCTTGAAGCCCATCCCCCGCAACCGAGGTACATTCAACCTCCTCCTCCTCCTCCACCTCCACCACCAATTTCCGGATCATCCGGTTATGGCGACTCGTCGCCTCCGATTTACGACAGGCCGCCTTTGCCGCCAATCTTCAACAACCATCCGCAATATCGCGCACCGAAGAACTGTAACCCTTGCAACAAAGTACCTTGGATTCCTGTGAACGGTGAAGCGTCTCACCACTCTGCTGACGCGTCCTTCGTCTCACCACCGTCGCTGCCGCCACTTCAGCCGCCACCTTCAAGCGGAAGCTATTTACCGCCCAGTAATCCTATAGTTCATGACGCTTATCACGCTGCCTCGCAAGAAATCCGAGCTCCAGACCTTTCCTTTGCGTTGCCGTTACCTACCGCGGCACAGAACGTACCTTTGCTCAATCCATTACCGAATCCGCAATTGTATCCCGGAGCGACGCCGCCGCTCTTCAAAGCGACGGATTTCAATTACAACCCACTCATACAACCCACTCTGGGTGGAGTCCCAGAGTATCTGAACGCACCACCGTTGTCTGGGAGCGACCCGCTTACGGGAAATGGCATTTTCCCGAGTGCAGTGGAGTCTGGTTCTAATAATGGACATATTGAGCCATCCATTTACCCGAATAATCCCTCGACCCATTCGAATCTAGGAGTCGTTCATCAGGGCCTGGGATACACTGGCATCGGCGTGAGCAACAGTGGATTGGAACATCCGCACGTTCAGTATCACGGCGGGCACGGCGACTTGTCCTCCAGCGGCACTCAAGTGTCTCACGGTCACGCGGATCCTGTCTTGGGTGCGCAAGGATTCGAGAATACCGCGACTCATCATCAAGGCTCGCTCGACGTCGTGAGTCATCAAGCTTCCTTCGGCAGTTCCGCTGTTGCAGATCATCAGTCCTTGGGAGCGCTCAATAATGGAGGATTTCATATCGCTGGATCGAACGTGTTGGAACCTGATGGTTTTCTCGACAATTCCAGCCAGATCGCCCCGAATCTCCCAAGCAGCTACGGTATTTCCGGTCTCGATCGGCCATCGGACAATTACCAGCATCAGTACAACGACTTGTTCTCCAGCGGCAGCGTCGTTACGGATTCCCACGCGCCTTCGCGCGCCACAGACGGATCTCCCGCGAAGATTGAAGATCCAATACATTTTGAAGAGTCACCGTTGCTAGATCTCACGCACAAAGGTGAAAGTCGGACGCACTCGTCCTCGATACCACCGACCTCTAACGCGCTCACGGATTTGAACGAGAGTGTCGAGACAGGCGGCGCGACGACCTTGGCGCCCGGCGTCGAGCACTTCAGGACTCATTCAGGCATTCCCGCCTTGACGGAGTCGCGCTTCCCCGCGGATGACGTGCTGAAGACGTTCGAGTCCTTGGAGTCGCTTGAGAAATCGAATGCGATCGACGACAGCGCGAGCTCTCAGCTCGTCAACGACGCTCATCGTAGTCCCGCGGATCCTCAAGAACAGAAAGTCTCCTACTTTCAGTCGCTCACACACAACCTGGCGGGATACTTCCGGCCAGATGTCACGTCGACGACCACGAGGAGCACGGAGAGAGGGTCGCTTTGGGACTCTCTGGTGAATGTTTACGACAATGTGCCTGAACACCAGATCGACCAGTCGGGTGAAAATGTCGATGTCGACTTGGAGGACACGAACCTGCACACCAGTTCACAGAGTCCGAAGAGGAATAAAAAGGTGACTCGGCCAAAAGTTTACTCGAGTAGAAGCGCGATTTTAAGGGAAGCACGATCTTATAATCTGCTGTCGCGACTTAAATTGTTTAGGTGCAGGTGATCATACCCTACACGTCGAAGCACACGCCGGTTCCGTTCCAACCGGTGCGCGACCAGAATTACGGGCGAAAGGCCTTACCTACGGGTGATGCCTCCGATCGTGATAATTACATCAATGAAGAGTCACGGAAGAAGATTAAAGTGTCAGCTCTTCCGGACTCCTCCCACAGCTTGCAGACTTGGCCTGTCACTGTAGCGATATCGGAAGAGGTCACCGGTAAACCGGCCGGGATCAAGGTGAACAATTCCATAGACGTGCACAGATTGCAGAAGAACATCGACAATTGGACGATACAGGCATGTTACATGCTTCTTATTCATGCATGAATAAGTTCTTGCGAACATATGCCAAATCTTTTAAGAAGGGATCAGCACCCTATTTGGAATAAATTCCTTGATTCAATGATTCAGCAATGTTATTGAATCAAGACCTATTTTAACTACGGCGTTGTTGACTACATCTACTGATTCAACAGCATTTTTTGTCGGATTAACAATACATGTATATACTTTATCTGCGCTCAATTTAGGAATATTCAAAAGGCACTACCGCCACTACAGCGTCACCCAGTTCAGCCAAACCGTATCTCTTCCCTTCGAAGCAGATTCCCGACAAGTACCTGACGACTATCGAGCCTGTCGATGTCCATGTGGACAATTTTCGCGACGAGAGCGTCAAAACATTCACATTGGGTGGATTCAGTTTCAATGACCAAGAACGCGAAGGTTCATCCAGCAACCACGTAGAAGGACCTCGAATACAAGTAATTAAGCGAAACCTCGAAGAGGTCGACGTATAATCTTGGGTGATCATCCGCGACAGCTCTTCCGTGTCTTTTGTTCAAGGTGGTAACAGGAGACAAGGATCAGTCCAAGGTTTCTACCGAGGGCTCCGTCGACATCGTCACCGCGCGTTCGGCGAACGACTTCGCATGGCAAGATTTCCCCATGGACATTTCTCCAGTGAGCAAGGAACGAGTCTACGTGGTGACGCCGCAGCCTATCCTGACTACTTCCAGTGCAACGACAAAGGGGGCGGAGAGGAACTCGATAGAATTGACCGAAGCTTCGAAAGTGGACATTAAGGAGAGTCAGAAGGAGACCGACCCGTTCGAGTCGATCGAGAAGGCCTACCAAGTGCTGCCTCAGGCTGTAAATAACTTGGCGGTGGCTTCCACCGGTCCCGACAGTGTTCCTCTCTGGGGCATCATGGAGCACGAGGACTTCGGATCGCTCAACGATAGCGGGCACGAAGATCACGAAGACAGCGAACCTGAGGGCCTTGTGCTGTACGATGGACACTCGAAGGCATGTATTGTTGTCAGTCTAAACAACGTGCTTTGCTTATGCATGCGCTGTTCTTTTCCTAGGCCTATGTTAATAGTCATTACTTGAAACTTTTCCCACGTGAAATACTTAGATTTGAATTTAGAGTTGAGTCGTTCATTTAAATTCTATAATATACGCAATATTACATTTATAATCGCGATTTAGTTGAATAATTCATGTCTAACTTTGAATTCAAACCTGAGTATCTTATTTGAGACAAGTTTCAAGTAAGTAATCGCGATTCAACTGAAAAATTCTCATCTAACTCTGAATTTAAATCTGAGTATCTCACTTGAGTTTCAAGTAGTAACTATTATCAAATGAGCCTTAGGCTCTGAACTTCCTGGGCGTGAAGGAAATTAGAAATGACTTCTCTACGCTTGCTGTCTAAACAGTTTGGTTGAATCTCGTCTCTATGCCTGGCATTTTGACCTCTTTTCATATCCCTTTTACAGGTGTCGCGTGCCAAGCGATGACGCATTCACGTGGAGAATGCTTAAGACAATTGGTTGTGCATGTGTAGACAGTGCCTGACAGTGTGTGCTTTAACGCGGACGACAAGCGACTGTGAACAATCGGTTGAAAGCGCAGCCTCCCGACCGCGTTTTCACGAACCTCTTCGATCTGACGGCGCCTTCATGTAAAAACGGGTGCTTCGATCCTACGTAAGTGCGCAAGTGATTATCGTGGCCAGTGCAGCGGATCCATGTATCTCGTAATCCGGACGAGTGTATTTTTGTAAGTTTCTGTTATAAGTAACCCCGCACAATAAATCCCAGTCGATTTTACTCGCAGGGTAAAATCGCAAGTACCGTTGCTCTCATCCTCTTTCTTCCTCTTTGCATCTCAGCTTTAGAAAATCGTTTTCGCCTCGCAGTCTGGTCGCGTTCACCTGTCCACCTTAATCCGCTTTTCACGCATTCGCTGGCCACGCTCGAACGTCACTTTCGCCGATTTCGCAAAGCTGGCCGTTCGTCAAGAAGTGTCACGACTATTCGCGCACCGTTGCATCTAAATATACGCGTTCGTGTTATGCATACATGCATATCGCGCGCGACTCGGCCGATTGTACGGTGAAAGGAGACTCTGGATCCCGAATTTTGAGCACCTCCTTCGGCGTCGTTCGTTCTAATGCAAAATCGTATGGCAGAGAAAGAGAGACTCGATTCCGTCGTACGATATTCGACAAAAGCACTTTGCATGTGTATACGTCGTTCTTCTCTTAGTCTCTGATTTTCTTGGACGCGAAGAGAATAGAAATGGCGTCTTTGCGCTTTGCTTCCCAAGTCAGCGCGCGCATGTCAGGGGAGAAAATCGGACGTTATCGCGTTCAGAGAGATCATAGATTTAATGAGCGAGAAGTCGCGAGAGTCAGATGAATGTAACAGCGCTGATCGTGGCTCGATGCAACATTATCTACATTTCATTGACCTTCGAACTTCCTTTCCGGGTCTCTTCAAGGAGATCACACGTTGCCTGTCACAGCGAGACGTGGGAACTGCCGCCGGAAGCAGGTGGGAAAAGAGGTGTTCCATTGTCTGAACGACGTATCGTCGCGGATACACTCTAGCCGCCGACAACGTCGCGCGAGTCGACTAGGCGCTGTAATTAGATCCACTTCTGCGGTAAATGGCATCGAACAAGGACACGACCTTAATTGCGAGCGTGCCGCGAGGATAGAAGTTTTAACACGCCGACCGTAATAGAGGCATGTAAGAATTTTTAATTCCCTTTCACGCGCTTCACGTGAAATCGAGAATCGCACTAGTTAGGAAATGCAGCCCTCCTCCGCGATTGTCAAGTCAGCTCATAGTCGCGCTTTCGAACACAATGTTCTGCAACTCCCCCGCAACACGCGTAAATAAATATAATTTATTTAAAGAGACGTACAATTATTTGGAGCGCCGGTTTATAATCATGTCAACGATCTCGATTTCCGTCGCGCGGAGCACGTCCGAATCACCATCTCCGTTAGCCACATAGTCACCGTGATGGCGGTCACGCAATTGATCAGAATAATACAGGTTGAGTAGCTCCCGGTACTATCCCGTATTACACCTGCAACAAGTCAGTTCTTCGTTTTAATATTCGTTCATTCGTGTTAACGGTGCGCGTGTGCATTCATTCGCAAAACAACTTGAATACATTCTTTCGCATCAAATGATCACAGTTGCGAGCCACTATTCATGAGTCTGCGCGCTAATTTGCCATGATTGAAATGACGGAAATGAGACACCCGACATCATAACTACAGTGGAAAATTCAGGCAAGACGCAAGTACCTCCATTATATTCTTATATATTAGATAAGAATATATAATAGGAGGCTGATATTTATGCTCTATTGTCACTTTGATTGCTGTCACAATTTATGACACAAATTTTTAAACAAGTGGTTTGCAATTACGGCTACTTAACGCAATGCTAGCTTGAAAAGAAAATGTGTGAATATTGTTTCGCAAAAGAATATACGTCACACAAATCACATATGAAATAAAAGGCGACATTGTTGAAAGAAATTGACACGCGAAGGGAAAGCGGACGAATAATCTTATACCGATTAAGGGGCCGAAGCATGTGAGTATCAATCCATTGACCATCATCTGAATACCCGAGGCGCTGGGTAATTTTGCAATGGGCACGTGATTAGGAATCACCAGGACCATGTAAACCGATCGAATTCCTTTCGCCATTCCCAATCCGACAGCCACGATCAACACTCCGATAAAGCTGTTCACGAAGAGCAACGCTGCGCCGGAAAACAAGCAAGAATACAATCATAAATTCGCTGTTTCTTTTCTTCCTTTTTACACGTCTGTCTCTTTCTTCTTTCTCTCTTTTTAAGTTAATATTCAACAAGGAGATATCGTCAGTATACGTTACAGGTTCGGCTAATTATCAGAAGGCACAGGCTGAACAGGTACATCACTCTGGCCGGCTGATGCAGCCACTCCTCCAGGAAAGGAGACGCACCTCTGTTAATGAGATCGGCCATCGCGATGAGGCTCATGGCGCTAGCGATTTCTGACGTTGTCATGTTCATGTCAGCGAGAATGAACGGCGTCAGTAGCGAGAAGTTCGCTTCCGCGAAAATCGCCACCGACATACCAAGCATCATGTTCACGTAGATCGGATCGCGCAACAGATCGAGATCGTACATGGAGGCGAACCATTGCAGGAATCGCCGGATGGCGGATTTACTCTCGCTACTGCAACGTAATCATGCGTTGTATTAAAAATAAAAATCAGTAAATAAAAACGATATTTTTATATCGCGTATTTTATCGAGCAACGATTTCTTTTCATTTTGCAGGCGATCGGAATGAGAAAATATCAGTACGCACCTCCAAGGAACGTCTTGTGGATGTCCTGAGGAATCCTTATGTCCTTAGGACGTCTCCTGGATATCCTCAAGACGTCCCTTAGAATTTCTGTATACATGGTAAGAAATATTTTGTATTTGTGTTGAAGTCGATTGGTATAGAAAATCTTGCATTGAATTTTTAATATACCCGTGTGTCAGTTTAATATATTGTTATTGTGTTATTTTAACTGATTTGCGTTCAGTTCATATAAGATATAACACTTAGAAATAATAAATATGAATAAGTGTAGTTCTGACCTAATCTAAACTAATCTGGGACCTTTTTAGGAAAGAGATAGCCTGATTCTTCAGTTATAAACATTCATAGAATAATTGCGGTCTTCGATAAGTTAAAAGCCACATCACATTTCCTCGTACGTACTTATTATTGTCGTCGTCGTTTACTACGGTCGGAGAGTTATCTGTTTTTTTCTCAATCAGCGAATCTTTTTCCACGTTGTTTTGACAATTCCCATTTACTTCGTTGTCACCGATAAAGATCAGTTTTTTCGTTATCGGCGCGGGCTCCTCGAAGATTTTTATGCTGCTACCGAGATTGACGCTGTTCGCTAAAAGCACACCACACAGACTGTCAGATTGCTCACGATCTTAATTCTAACGATTCTCCGACGAGGTTGGAGTCGATTTTTTCCGCGGCGGAAATGCGTTCAGACGCTACTCGTAGGAAATTAGAAATTCATGAAAAATGTTACAACTTCTTCGCGCAAAGAAAAAGTCGACTCCGCGTGTTTCTAAAAAAATGGCGGTTTTTAATCGTTACGAGATCGTTACGTTATCTGCTCATAGTTACTCGAATTCCACCATGAAGGTTTCAAATATTTGCGGCTTCCATACAAATTCGTCATCGATGTCCCGTTTATTATCGACATCTCGATGTCGTAATTCGCGTCGTGCGACGTGTCTGAAATGTGAATTTTGTACTCCTAATACTTGCGTCAAAACCATTCGATTAATTTACAATTTTAATAAATCGTGAAGGACTTGTGTGTTATCGGCCCATACTTGTTCTAGTCTCCACAGAAGTCTGCCGAGGTAGAGGCGTATCGAATCCATAAATGCTTCCGACTTCGCTATCGTGATCGATGGTCGACATTTTTCTCTTTCTCTGATGACTGTTCGTCAACGATCTCGAAGATGGTAGTGCTATTTCGTCTTCGACGTTAATGCTTGACGTATCTGTGAGAAATTGATAATTAGAGGCGAAAGAATGAGAGAGGATTCCGAGTGTCGCGCGCGATCGACGATTTACTGAACGAATAGGTACCTCCTTCGGTATTGTTCAAAATGTCAGTTGTTTTAGGGATTGTTTCTAAGCAGATGGGTATGCTTTTCATATGCCACTTAAGCGGCTGTAACAACATAGCGCCCACCAACGAATGCAGACTGTAAGCGCCAAGCAACAAGATCGTCCCCTGTTTGAGATTAGTGCTGTTAATATAAAAACTGGGTATTTTCAAATACTCTCTCGATGGGCGGAGGTATGTTTCAGGTATCAAAGTACTCGAGAAATTTGAACAATTATCCTTAGTGAGTTAATAATTCGAAAGATGTCGGGTGTCTGAGTAGTATTTGGCAGAGTTGGGCATTAATCGATTAAAAGTTTCTTTGACCAAAAGAATCAATAATAAAAATTAATCAATCGTGACACATAAAATTACTAATAATTTCATCAATTGATTGATTATTATAGTGGCTGAGGTATCTGGCTAGTCGGAATTGACGCCACTGTTTGAAATGTTGCGCCCTTTGAGTCGCGAGTGATACCCTTCGGTAGCGATATAATTCGCAAATAATTATAACTCGCCTATCACGATCGGACAAATGGAAGTAATGCGAGAAAGAGGAAAGAAAAGAGGAGAACACGTCTCGCTGAACGGACCATTAAACTCGCGCCGTAAATCGACAGTTCCGCGCGCGCGGAGGATCGCGAATCACCGTTCGCGACATTAAACGTGGACCGTGCAGTCAGCTCGACAGCAAAATAAATGAGCCGACCCACATCGATAAGTAATTGTTGCGGTACTTTACGATCGGCTTTAATCCTGACCGGAGATGCCGGCCTTATCGAAGTCGCGCGTGCGAGAACACGACGAGACTTTGTATTTCCCGGCATCCTTTCGTTAATCCGCGCGGTCTCGCGCCTGGGAGAGCATCTTCTATCCATCGCGTTACTTTACTCGCCCACTGAGCCTCGTAGCTGGGTACCTGAACGTCGTAAGTCGACAGCAAGAAGGACACCACTTGGGGCATGATGATCGGCCCGATGCCCATGATAGTCACGGCCAGGCTCATAGCTCGTGTCCGTTTCTTGGTGAAGTAAGAATTCACCGCCAAGGAAAATCCGGATATCGACAGTCCCATGCCCGCGGCTGTGAGAAAGGAACGCAAACGAGATCGACGATTAATTTGCGCGTACGTTATACTGTGAGAAATTTGCATTATACTTTAATAACACGCATATTTATATTTCTATAATGATGATAGTGAATTTAAACAGATTCGTGATAGCAGCACTGGTCTCGACTCAGGTCGACCACCTGATTCTTTTTGTCTTACTCACAGGCCAGTAATCCATAAAATAAAATAATGAGGGTGAAGCTGTTGGAGAATGCCGTCATCGTCACTCCGAGCGATAGTAACATGCTCCCGACTATCGATACCTTCCGGTAACCGTAGGTCTTCAGGAGAGGCCCGTTGAACACACCCAGTAGCATACCAAACGCAAAATTCACGTTGATTATGACCGCCGTGTCAGTCGCGGTGAGATTGAGTTTGGTGAAGGATTCCTTGAATACCAATCCAAATGCTTGTATCACCGCTATAGTCGACAACTACGGAATAATGATCCTCAGATTATTTCGCCATAGTGTTGCCGCTACGTTCTCTAAGAAGTAAGCAGACTAATCCTTTAATTGAACACGTTTGTGAGATCTTGTGATGGCCTTTAATGGCTTATATTTTCATCACGGAAGTCGTATGCGCATCATTATTTTTAGCGTACTTTCGCGCTAGGATCTTAACCTATTAGCAGCATGTGTTTCACATATTTATGTTCTTTATATTGAATAAAATCAAGTAATGAATATATATCTTTATTCTGGTATTCTCAGCACCTAATTTCCAGTTATATATATCCGCCCCTTTATAAAGAATATTTCTAACATTAATTAAGAATCCAGGAAGTAAACAGGCTGATTCTTTAATTGAACACGTGGAATCATCATGGCCCTCAATGGGTTAATGGGTTAAAATTCCCCGAGACGCGACTTACACTGTTTAACGCGTGAGCCACGACGATCATCCATCCCCATCCTCCGTCTGGCGGTACTTTCGTAGGCATCTCGAAAGTGAACGTGAGACACTCTCGCAGTTGCACAACGTCAAAGCGAACTTTGATGAATTAATGATTCCAGGTGCGAGGTGACGAAACGTCAGGTGGAATAATATGAATTCCTCAAGCAGCTATCCCATACATCTCACCTTTAGATTTATTATTCGCACAGTCGCCGGCCCTTTCACGGATTAATTAACTCCCTATGTCACGCGACGATCTTTCGCGATCTTAGATTCAGTGGGTGTTGCCGATTGATCGTGGCGATAACTACTTCTAGTAGTCTCGTCAAAAGCAACGCGCTATCTGCAGTTTTAGTCGTGGCATTGGAGACGATTTTAATTTACTTGCAGCGGTGAATCAGCGAATCTCACAATATTACACGATATTGTCCAACCGGTTTGAAGTTACGCTACTCGAAGTGTGTTTTGCAAGAAGAATCTCGTAGTCTTAAGTATCACACGTCTGCATAAGTTGTAATGTTGTTACATAAGTCGCATCGATATCCTTCTCTTTCTCACAGAGTGTTTCCTCGAGTAAAGATATGCTCGACAGCGCTGATACGCCGACAACGATCGTACGCGAAAGCGAAGTTGCATATAGTCCGATAACTAGTCGATACAGCAATCTGTTTCGCGCAGTGACAAAAGTCATACTGACGATGACCAAACTGAATTCGCATTTGTGACAGATAAGAAGCGTGTGTAGCTGAAGATTAATCTAATCTGACGTGCATCTTTATTATTGATATGATCTATCGTTGATTCAACAAAAAGTGCAAAAGTTCGCATGATAAACGTTTATGCATGATTTACTAATGCCCATTTGCTTAGAAACAACCCTTAAAACGCCCGATATTTTAAGCAATACCGAAGGAAATACCTAATCGTTCAATAAACGTCGATCGCTCGAAATTCTCTCTCATCCTTTCACCTCTTTCTCTCTCTCTTTGATCAATGATTATCAATTTCTCAGATACATGAAGCATTAACACGAGATAGCATTAAGACGAGATAGCACTGCAGTCTTCGGAACCGATGAACAGTCATCAGAGAAAGAAAGAAATGTCGATCAGCGATTACGATAGCGATTACGATAGCGATTACGGAAGTATCATACGGGTCGATAACACAAGTTTTTCACGATTTATTAAAATTGTAAATTAATCGAAATGAGTTACGTAAAAATTAGGAGCACAACATTCATACGTACGTTGTACAGGAAGATATTGAATTGCGTTTGCGACACCGGAAGAATCATTATGTCGACTAAAATATCTTGTTGCTATCTTAACTGATAGCGCGTACGTGGGCAAAATGTTGCAGTAAAAATTGCAATAAAATTGTTGTAACGTTGTATCTTGCAGAATTGTAGCCGAAATTACTATATATTTGTTCAAAAATATTATGTCACGTTTAGCTTTTTGCTATAAAGTTATTGTAATTATTTACATGTGTTTTTATATGGCGCATTACAGTGCAGGTCATCAAATTTACTATTTCTATAGTAATTTATATCACAATTAGCATAGCTTTATAGCAAATATTGCAAAGAAATATAATTTTAATGTAATTTTTGTTGCAATACTTTCCCCGCGTACAACGTCATAAACTATTCAGGTACATTACTTTTAATTATTTTAATCGAATTACACCGGAAGATAACCTGAAAAATGCGACATTTCCTCTCTTCTTTTAGCACGTATATTTAAATTACAAAAATATATTTGTGTATAATACACGAAAAAGTTTTTAATCGCGAGTCTAACAGCTAGTCTGAGTTCACATTACAATATTATTGTGAATACAGTAGGAACCAATGACATGCGGTTGCATAACAAATTATTCATATGTATATTTAATATATACGCATGTCTCGAAAGTGCACGAAAAAGTGTGCTTATCGTATTCATATTTGCACAAGGCTTTGATGTATTGAGATGTCCGTTGATAACGGCTATCAGTGAGTATGCGAAAATTTATTTGAGCACTTTATTCCGTCGAAGTGCAAAGTCATGTGACTGTTAATTAGGTCAAAGTTATCTCTGATTAATACGAATATTTTGATTCAATTCTTAATTACATTGTTTGCGTGTATGTGCATTTGCGCGCGTCTATTTATACGTAGATTACCGTGGTACATCAACATTATTAGCATACATAAAATTCTTTACATTACCATCGCAAAATAGTCGTAAACCGTGAGTATTGAATTAATTAATTACACGGTCACGCAAGAGTTCTCTCGTTCCGCCGACAGACTTCTCCGAGGCGATCTTAAGAGCTTGCCGCACGAAGTCCAGAGTCCACTTATCAACCATAGGAAGACGCACGACATGCTGAGGAGGGACATGAAGTAAAGCGCGCCCACGTAACTGTTCCTTACGTCGTGCACTACGCCTGCGAACAATAAGGTTCGATTAGAATCACACGCAAAAAGAAAGGAAGAACGACGTCATCTCGTGTCAACGTCAATTTGGAGGATGATCGCGTCCGAGGGAAATTACGGATCGTCGTCGAGAGCGTTTAGAGAAGACCCTGTTTCGATTTACCGATAATAGGTCCCACGCTGATAGACAGGATGCCGTTGCAGACCATCTGGATACCGGATGCGGCCGGCAGCCTCTCCAATGGCACGTAATCGGGTATAATTAGGGCTTGGAAGACAGCTTTGGTTCCCTTCGCCAGTCCGACGATCAGCGATACCATGATTACAACGACATAGATGTCGCCCCATGTAGAGAGAACTGCAAGAAACAAGTTGATATGACTGTTAAATTCACAAGAATTTGCGTTGAAAGTCAAAAGCGCATGGATGAACTATCTTGCATCCAATTAGTGCTGAATTAACATAGCCATATATATTTTTATATCCGCGCGGATATTGCCGGTTATTACCGAGTACTCAAATTGACAGGTATTCAATCCAAATACTCAAATTCATGGATACAACTAATTAGGGCACTCAAGCCTTACACCGAGAGAAATCAATTAACAAACGGATATTTCCGATCAAAATATCGATGAATTTTTGTATCCAATCAGAAAACATTGGATGAGAAATTTCGGTTCATAATTTTTTGATCGGTTTATCTGATGAAATGCCATTATGATCGGAAGTATCCGATTAAATTTGATCGAATGTAAAAATTCATTGGTATTTTGATCGGAAATACCCGTTTGTTAATTTTTTATCAGATAATTTCGCTCAGTGTTTGGATATTATCTAAATATCTTGGGTATTATTTCGAATCTATTGGGTATTTATCTCGGTTACTCTTTGAATATCTTAGAGTGGAACTTTACTTGAAGAGAGTGAAATAACTTTGAGTGAAACATTCACTTTTGCGACTTCAAGTAGCACTATTTTCGCTATTATTTCGAGTGAAAATATCACTAGTTTTCACTCGTCTTGGGTGAGATTCCACTCCAAGAAATTTAAAGAGAACAAAACAGCTCTTTGCGAAATCGAAAATTTTCAAACTCTTTCCGCAAACCACGCTTTTATTGTGCTCTTATTTGTGCCTAGTGCAGTTACTGTAATGATATGCTTAATTTACTATCAACCCACCCCAGAAATCGCGATCCGGTCGGGACTCGTGAAGAGATTCCTCGTGTTTGTATACTTTATGTGGCTGTACGTACTAGTCCTTCCAAGGATCGATCCCAGCAGGGACATCACATAAAGGTTCCTACACGTCCAGCCAATTTTCTGAGCCAAGAGCGGCACGCATAGACGTCCGGTAATATCTGCGGCGGCTTGAATCGACATCACCGTGGCTATCGACGTGCGATCAAGGCTCGCCAACTCAGCCAGAACGAAAGGTATCATTGCGTTGAAGTTCGTCTCGGCCACTAGCGAGATGCCCATTCCTGTTTCCCCAACCGATTAATGTATTAATGATCTCTACTTCAATTGCGGTCGATTCAGTCACTAGTAATTTACCTAATACTATCGCTAAGTAACGTTTGTCACGCAGAAGATCAAGATCCAAGTTCTTGGCGATCTTCCTGAGCATTGAAGCGCTTTCTTCCAGCTGCTCTTTATTTTTCCTCAAATCGCAGCTCCTCTCTTCGGAGACATTCTCCTCGTTTAACAATCGACATTGAACGCTGTTGTTCTTCAAGCCTTCTTTTTCTTCTGCTTCTTTTTCACTGTTCGTGGTTTCTATTCCGTTTTGTTTTCTTGATATGTCCATAGCTTCGCCTGTCGAAATCACTTGCTGAACATGAGAAGAACTCTTTTTTAATATAACTTATATTTTATTTACATTTTATATGTGTGATAAATTCTCTCTTACATACCTTGAACTCACCTTTTCGCGTTCCTTGAACGGTTCTAACAGCGATGCACCCACGAGGGAATGCGTGGCGATACCGGCGAGGAGCAGGAGACTGCCGGTCGTGGCATAATTCTCCAGAAGCACGTCTATTAGAAGAGGCATCAGGATTGGACCCAAGCCGGTCATCGTGACCGAGAAACCCATGGCTATGTTGCGTTTTCTGCGGAAGTACGTGTTCATGGCGAGGCTGGTCGCCGGGAAGATGATACCTTGGCCAATACCTGCAACGGCGCGTCGATCATGAGGCTTTAGTAGTACTGTCTTGGACTTTGCTTTGTGATAGTACTTTATTTAAACACTATAATTGCTTCTATTGAAAACTATAATTACTTAAAAAACTTGCTTATTTTCTAGAAATCTGAAATTAATGTCACAGCATATTTTATCAAAATTATATGTACAACTGGGAATTAGGTACTTAAAAACATGATAAAATTATATCTCAAGCAAATGATTTTACTCAATAACAAAGAAACGTTGACCCATAAATGGGCACTAATTCCCAATGAGCTAATGATCGTAATTATCTTATTTATAGAGCGAGTCAGTCACCGATAATGACGCAATAAGTGACAATGAGAGTCGGAAGAGACATGGCGAAGGCAGCCGTGCAAATTCCAAGGACGACTGTGAGACCGCCGAAACAGGCAACCTTGCGAAAGGAGAATCTTTTCATCATCGGGCTGCTTATCAGGCCTAGACTGCAGGCGATCGTCCCGTTAAGATGAAGGATCAGGCTTGTTTGGGTCGCGGTGATACCGAGGTCCGCGAAACGTTCCGCGAAGATGAGACCGAAACATTGCTGCATCGGAAGCACGGCCAGCTGATGAAAAGATGGAATTAGTTCAACCGGTATTGAACTCTCCTTGTTTACTTCATGATTGTATTGTCACAATCACGAAGTATTCAGCAAATGTTTTCGTTCCTATAGATCTTCCCGCCTTATCAAAACTATAGTTTTGTGAAACAGATAAGAGCGCCGTCTTCCAGTCTCAAAATATATCTCTACACTGAGAAGGATACTTCAAAATCTCTCTGTGAAACATAAAGTTTATTTGTGTGAATAAACTTTATATCCCACAAATAAATAAATTTTTCTCAATGCATTAACATACGAATTCATCACTACCTGAATATCACTACTCATGTACTACCCAAGTATTACCTGAGTAGCCGAATTCACGCGAGTATCCAAACTCACTGATACTATCTAAGTGTCAGAATATTGAGAGAAAAATACTTGAAAAGTTTCCCCTTCCTTACATTTTCCTTTTTTCTTTTTAGTCATTGTTGGAACACGAAACAACTGGTTGATCGACCAAAGTCGTTAGATTAACAAGTCACGAGTTTCCTTGTGATTGGCTTGCTATGTGTTAATCAGCCGAAACGTTCTGCGAGTACGTGCGCGGGAATTGATCATTATTGTCTAAGTTGCTCTTATCACGATTGTACGAAAGAAACAAGTACCAAATACTTACGTTGATAACAGTCACACCTATAACGATCGCCCATGCCCAGCCACGGTCCGTCTCGCCACGTGCCATCCTATCAATCGTATTATCCGATTATCGTGCTGCAGGTGTTGCATGGGAGCCCTCTAGATCCCCGGTGATTCGCACTCCAGATTTCAACGAGCCCAGCTTTCAACGCCTTATCCTGCGCTGTTTTCAATTCGATTCATTGGCGGACTGGAAGCCTAAACGTGCCGGACGACCGCGTTGGCGCGGCTACGAATTGGACAAATGATAAGATACGCGTCGTGCCGGCGAATAAACTCTCTATCTCGAGTTTCGTTTTGACGATCGGCGCGATATCGCGCGTTGCCTCTAGGCTCACCTATCGTCAGTCGTCAGCACCAGCCGATTTCTTGTTTACTCCGCAGTTTCTCCCACGTCGATCGTCTTACGATACGTCAACGACACGCGCTCAAAGTCCCGATCGAAGTTTGTCTCGTGCTTGGAAGTCACCGTATAATTTCGCTGATAATGCCATTTCCTCCCGGATCCTTCCGCAGTTGCTAGAAATTTGTCATCTCGCCGTGTGCGCGACGAAATTACCGAGCACCGGTGTCGGGAGGTAACGGGAGCTTCGAGACATCGCGTCGTGAGAAGACATTGTCGCCCCGGCTCAACACATCGATCGATAAAGCAACGACGTTGGGACCGCGGCAACAGTGATGAGAACGAGCATCGCTTCAATTCGACTCAATTGGCTCGAGCAGCCGTCGTACTCATAACGGCGAAAAGTAGCGCCGGTTCATATGAAGTGTCCCAAATGTTGCTAAAGCTGTCGTAAAATCGATATCTCGTTCTTAAAGATACGCGGGAACGCGCCAATGTTACTGGCTTCCCACCGGATTATTTTCCTCCTCTGAATTTAGATCTACGTCTCAGTACACGGGGAGAAAATGCCGTTGAATTAATAGAATTGGTCAACAGTATTGTAATTGGAATAAGTTCTCTTGATTCTTGAATAGCAACCCAAACAGCATAAACTTTTAAAAAATGTTTCAAAGATGACTAGAAGAATTTCTGTGCTCTGATGTTTTCGCATTAATAGGAATTAATTTGATTCCAATTTTTTCAAGACGTCTTTTAGAAATTTGTATTGTCTGGGAATATTATTAAAACAAATTCATCATACATTGTCTTAATAATTCGAGTATTATAGCTATGTCTGGATAAAATTCATAATTCGAATATTAAAACAATGTATTCGTTTCAACAATATCTTTATTGCAGTTATGGCGCAGATTGACCAATTCTATTGATTCAACAGCATTTTGGTCCATGTACGAAATACAACTATAGAGGCAATTATGATAAGGCATTTTTCAAGATTGGTATCTTCACTTTAGTCGATTAATTACCTGCATTAGCACGGATAATTGCCCGCGACTCACAGCGCATGACTCACTTTGACGTCTCTTATTTACATTTCGTCAGCATCTCCGCAGCTTCTTTATCTTCAGCAATTATTCAGAAGTTCTCTGCGTCTCACTCACGCAGAAACTGCTGTTCTGGGCGTTCAAACAAACGCGTGTTTATACAAGTTTTCGCGGTGTCTGGCGAGCAGTCGTCGAAATGTATTGTTTAACAATTCCAAGTAGAAGTCGAGAACCTCTTCCAATGTTGCGCGATGTTATGGCTCGATGGTCAATTCGTTGGCACTGACGCGCGTCGACGTCGAGTCGATTTAAATGCCAGATACTCTTTCGGAGACACGATGCACAAAAACTAGAGTAACATATGTTCCGACGCGAGCTGCAGGCGCCCCGAGACTGGCTCGAAGAGGAGGAAGCCGGCTTGATGAAAACCGGCTCCGCTACTCCATTCGAGACGACGCGGAGCGCGATTATTCGTAGCGGCCGCGTTTTCGTTCGCGGGAGTGAATGCAGGCGTGCGCGCGCGCACGCTTCATTTACAAACGAGCTCTTTCGTTCGATGTGTGAATTAATTGCGCCGCGTATCATTCCGCGCAAGTACAATGACACGAGCTACGACTTGCGCGTTCCATCGTGTAAATACGACTTTATCGCGTCGCAATAAAACATTTTGCAAATTAGGTTTTGACGAGGAAAGTGTGTAATCGGACGCAGATGGGCGCGATTCTGTTTCTTTGCAAAATAAACGCGCGAAAAGAAGTGACAGCAGCAACGGGAAATCTTATTTGTGAAAAAGCGATGTCTTGGTTTGATGAATTTTGTCTCTGCACGAACGCAGAGCGAGAAACTGCTCAGCTTCAGCGATAAGACGATATCAGCGCTTCCGTGACGTCATGAATCACAAACTCGACGTGGAGATATATATAGAGTCGATAATACTATAATATGTATATAACATCATCTAGAGGCATAGGCAAATAATCGAGTGGTGACGAAAATTACACTGAGAGAAATTATCCGATAAAAAATTAACAAACATATTACCGGTCAAATTCAGATCAATTTTTATATCTGGTCAGGATATCCGATTAAATTTTATCAGATACTTCCGATCATAATGATACTTCATCAAATCGATAAAAAAATTATGAATCGACTTTTCATCTGAGGTTTTCTGACTGGATACAAAAATCCATCGATATTTTAATCGGAAATATCCGTTTGTTATTTTTTTATCGAATAATTTCTCTCAGTGTACTGGACTACTAATCGGAATATAATAATCGAAGTGTAATTTGCGCGATCGTTTTGCCACACTGAAAAAAAATACTTAAAAAATTTATTTGGGAGATATAAAATTTATTTCTGTGAAATAAAGTTTAGTTTTGTAAAATAAACATAAATTTTTAAACATTTGTTTTCTCAGTATATTATCGCTTTGAGAGCTTTGGCTTCCTATATAGCACAAATGTTCAATAGATATTCTAAGAACGTTCTAAAAACATTCGAATATTAGGAAAAACGTTTTGAAAAATGCAGATTTATCTTATTGATCCCCATTCTGTGTGTGCTATATTATAAACGTTACCAGGTATGTAAATATGAAACCGGAATTTTTGTATAGAAAATACACGTTTTTTGTATGAAAATGATAAAAAATATTTTATTCGAAGTATTGCCTATCGCTAGCTATACATTTTTCCCACCTGTCTGACAATTTGTGGATGCCACGCCAAAAAAACTGTTGCTCTTTTGAGGCAAACCAGTCATCGAGCCATTTTCGTACATTTTCGTAAGAAGTGAAGCGCTGCTTAGCAAGTGCGTGTCCCATCGATGCAAATAAATAGTAATCGGACGGAGCCAAGTCTGGTGAGTAAACAGCATGCGAAAGTATTTCCCAACTAAAAGCCTCAATCGTTTCCTTGACCAGTTTTGCTGTGTGTGATGGTGCATTATCATGAAACAAAATCACTTTGTGTTGCCTTTTTTTATATTCTGATCGTTTTTCACGCAAAGCTTGATTCAAATCGATCATTTGTTGTCGGTAGCGTTCAGTATTAACGGTTTGGCCAGGTTTTAGCAGCTCATAATAGATCACACCCTTCTGATCCCACCAAACACAGAGCATTGTCTTCCGTCCATAGCGATTTGGCCTTGCAGTCGATGTCGATGGTTCGCCTGGAGTTACCCATGATCTTTTACGCTTAGGATTCTCAAAATATATCCACTTTTCATCGCCAGTCACAATTCGATGGAGAAATGACTTTCTTTTGTACCTGGCGAGCAGCATTTCGCAAGTGGTTTTTCGGTTTTCCTGCTGTCTTTCATTCAGTTCATGTGGAACCCATTTTCCCATCTTCTGGATCTTTCCCATGGCTTTCAAACGTATGGAGACGGCTTCTCGTGTCACATTTAATTGATCCGCGAGTTGTTGTTGCGTTTGAGTGTCATCCTCATCCAACAATGCTTGCAATTCACTGTCTTCAAACTTTTTCGGTGGTTTTCCACGTTCTTTGTTTCTCACGTCAAAATCGCCACTTTTGAATTTTTTAAACCACTCAAAGCACTGTGATTTACCAAGAGCATGCTCACCGTAAGCTTCGACAAGCATTTGATGCGATTCTGCAGCAGTTTTCTTCAAATGGTAACAGAAAATCAATGCTGTCCGCAAATCGTAGTTTCCAGGCACAAAATTCGACATGTTCAACGCTATTACAAACTATGCTGTTGTATGAAACTTGTATTGTTGTGAGTTGAAAATCTTTGTCAGAGATGTCAACAAGGAAATGGCGCCAATGACGCGGTTTGACGGTAACTAATACATTGACAGCTAGGGCCATCTATGGACAAATTTCGGTTTCATATTTACAGACCTGGTATAAATTTTATAATATAAAAATTATAAATAAAAAAAATTATAAATATAAATTTTATAAATTTTATATTATAAAAATTTTGTTGTGATAATAATTATTATCACACACTTGCACACATATACACATACATACGCGCATACATAGCTGTTACTACCATATTTGAATTACGTCATTGTACTATATGCATTTGTAGTTTCTTAATTATAGCATGTCGTCGTCTGTGTAAAGTGGTATACAGGAGTTCAATAGCCCACACGATAGTCGTGGTCATCATCATGGCGGTCATCACGTGGATGCAAATCTTGTAACTCCCACTGACGTCTCTGATGTATCCTGTTTGTGATGGCAAACGCGTGTGTCATGTTAATCTAACATTATTTTTATGACGAAATACATTTTGTTGTCTTGAGCTAACGTACCGATTAAGGGACTCATAGTAACCACTAGGAGACCCTTGAACACCATGAACATGCCGAAGGCGCTTGGCAACTTCTTCAGCGTCACGTACTCCGATATGCTGAGATTGAGATTCACCAATGTGGCGCCACGTAGAAATCCCGCTACTACGAACATGACCATCAATGGTACTCTTCCTGATTGTTCCGCCAACACTGTGTGAAACAAGGAGCTTTGTACTTCTCTTTTTAATTAATCCAAATTAATTACATAGAGGTGGATAGAGAAAGAGAGATAGAACTGTAATAATAATAAGAAATAGACGAAGACTAATATTGCAATTCTAGATAAAATCGTAAAACTCGTAACTTGTTTTCGTAAGACTCGTAAGAACTTATGAGTATAACTGTAATTCTATGCAAACCGTATTTCATATGATAATTCGTAAATATCTACGATTTTTTTTTTTGTTTTTTTCGTAAGCTACGACTTTACGACTTTACGGTTTATTCATATATTTGTTTAGAATTGCAGCATAAGTTTGATCAATTAAGCATCCACTACTATGGAAAAATGGGCCTTCAATTGCGAAACATTGAAATTTCCAGTGTAGGATCTACAGACTCGATCCTTCAAGGTTTACATTTTAAAGTCAACGGAAGGATTACCAGAACGTGCGACTCCGAAGATAGCACCGAAGATCCAAAAGATCACGCGCTTTCTCCAACCGATCCAGTCGAATAACGTTGGCAGCAATAGTCGAGCGATAATGTCGGCGAATGCAGTCAGGGACAGGCAGAAGGCGACCTCTCTTTTCGTCATTCCTGTCGACCGTCAAGTTCCTTCGAGCAGTTTACTTGACTCCCGAGCAGTGCCGTAGCGAGGAAGTTTGTCGAAATCGGCATATTTTGATTAGCCGAAGCGTGTGTCCAACATGATGGAGAAATAGATTAATAGCGTGAAGAGCAGAATATTCCGCAATTCCAGTCTCTTCTAATCTCGCTGTGACTCGGCCTTTGACGCGCAAACTTCCTCCCGTTAACGAGGTAACAAACGATCCTTGCTACGGTACTGATCACATTTGTGATTTAAAACGAAAGCTCGCTCGCTCACCAATATCCGAGAGGAAGAATGGAGCCATAAGCTTGAAGTTTGACTCAGCCACGTAGAAGAGAGCGCAGCCCAAGGAGATGATTAGGTATGTGAAGTCCTTGAGTAGATCCAAGTCTAAGGTTTCCATCAGCTTCTTCGCGAACGATTTGTTCTTGGGCTTAGAACTCGATTCAAATGTCGTCGCGTCCTGTTCATTGGTCCAAAACGATCCATTAGACGACCTGCGTCCTGCAATTTTGCTCTTTTCCGTTAATAGGGCTTTGTCTTCTCGCTCCTCGTCGGACTTTTTCTAAAAGAGGAATTTTCTTACACGTGTGCAGTATTACATACACGTTCGTTCGTGATATCGATATTATTATTAGTAATAAATGCATCTTTAATGCGTCATTTTTAATTCTTCCCAGCCACCTGACAGCTCTCTAATGCACTTTAATTCTTCTCAGTCAATTAATGCAGAATTCAGAATGACAAAATTTTAACTAGATATTTGGGAGTTAGATTCTCTCTCGTGGAATAAAATATTATCATATATAAAATAATAATTCATTAAAATATTAACATCATTATCTTCTCACAAGGAGAGAATATTATAGTCTTTTTTTGAAACTTCTTTTTTCAGTGATATGTCAAAGTCAGTGTGATGTCAGTCAGTGGTTAGTTGATGTCAAAGTTAGAATTAGATGAATTACTTCTTCTGGCTGTATCGGCGATAGAATTTTGAGCGGACGCAGTAAGCAAGATCCCATTACAGAGTGCAAGGCCCAACCTCCGACGATGAGTGTCGTGCCGCGAAATCCATATTCGTTCAGCAGCAGGTGTATCAGCTGTGATAATCATTAATGAATCGATTATGAGAAGTTGAGAGTTTTCCTCTTCTTCTCCTCGTATCTCAATCTATTTTCAGCTTACCTGCGGCATGAGCACCATTCCAAACGCAGTTCCAGCCATGGAAAAGCCGACGGCTTGTCCGCGTTTCTTGTCGAAGAAAGTGTTCAACGCGACGAAGGACGAAGCGATCGCGAGACCAGTGCCCACGCCTGTCGAAAATGGATTTAACATGATAGCGTTTAACATCACTTTGCGTGGGGTCATCTGTAACAGCGATGTAATTCATAATAAATGGCCATACGCACCTCCTAAGACGCTGTAAGTACAGATGAGGTACAGCATACTACCGGCCCTTGACGTGAGTATCAGACCACTGCAACTCAGCAGAGATCCGAAAAGCGCGACTTGCCGATAGGAATATTTCTTCAACAACGGTCCAATCGTGAAACCTGTAAATATACATAGAAAGAAATGTCGTGGAATCAAGAGAATTGGTTAAGAGAGCATCGTTGTTGGAACAAGTCTTCTGGATTCAATAGCAATATTATTGAAACTAATGCATCATAAAATCATCATTCGATGACACGAACACTAGTTTCAGTAACATTGCTATTGAATCATTCTCCTACGGCGCTGTTGACTAATTCTATTGATTCGACAGCATTTCTTTCCATGTGTACTAGCGACTGATTTGTGTGAATTCTCTCTCTTCCGTCGACATTTTTAACACTCTGCAACATTCTCAATACTCTGCGTTAAAATCTTCACTACTTTTCTGAACCAAAAAACGCATCTGATTATTTCCTTTTTCAAATATTTCATTCTAGTTTTCCTCGTATATCGCGTCATGAAAGCCGCGCTTACCTGAGAAATTGATAATGGCGTCCAAAACGCTCATTATAATCGACGTTCCCGTGGAGCCAACGTTGAGATCTACCAGCAGATCGTGGAACAGTAATCCGAAGGACGGGTCCAAGGAACGTAGTGAAATCTGAATGTTTACCGACACAATGTACCGTACAATTTATGGTGATAATAACAACGCCGTCTCGCCGTCGCTTTTCGCGAATAAACAATTCTCTGCAAAGCTTTTTGGGCTGGGTTCAAAATCAACTTTCGACTGTTGCCTCGTGTGCCCTTGGAGCACTGCCCAATTATTACGAATAACATAACTTTCACTATATCAACTGTATAATTGCTCAATATAAAGCAACAATAATGATAATATTAAAATTGGCACGGTAACACCGGCGGGATTTACCGAAATCAAACTGCTGCCGACACAAACGAACCAACCCCAACCGCCATCAGGAGCCTGTCGTCTGGCATCGTTGTTCTTCCGTTCTGCCGTTTCCTTTGCGGACATTTCCTTGAGCGCGCGACCTGATAGACCGGTATTGATCGCCGATTAACAACAAAGAGCACCGTATATTTACGCGGGCACTCACACTGTCTACTAATGACCTCCTCCGAGTCGCATTGTCACATGAACTTACGTCGTTTATCGACGCCGATATCGTTCATTGATTGCCAATCGTGCGATACGTAATCCGTATCCTCCCTACCACGCGACTTCTCACCAGACTGACTAAGCACTGATTAGTGTGTATGTCGGCTATTTACTGCTCGCGAGATTTACCACTGCTACTCCTACCACCTGTGGAAAAGTACGCCGCATAATCGCGTTGCCAGGCATTTCAGAGTGACCGGTAGTGGCGTTACGCGTATGGCCGATCGAAACGGTAAACTCGCGTGTCTGCGCGAAGCGTCGCGAACGTAACGCGCGTTTTATGCGATTGTAGGAAGAGAGGGGTTCCTCTAGCAGCGTACATTAGTTGGCCAACAGTTGGCCGCTGTGCATTCTACATTGGCTGCTATAGATTTAACAACGATCCGATGCTTCATGCTGCTCGGGATTGTGTTCGCGGTGTTACGTCGAATGTCACATGGGCCATGCTTTTTTTATCGCAGCTAAACTCGATAAGCACAATGGATAAAGAAGGACGAATGCATTCTCTTTCTCATTATGTTATTATTACTTCATGTTATTCATATATTTGATGCCTCAGTTTATTTAGTAGACTCTCTCCCTAAACTACCTCGTATTATTCTTTCTTTCTTACGTAATTGGACAAAACAGACTAAAGTTTGATATAATGTGGATATAGAAAATTTTTTTTACTGGCAGCACGAATGCGTTAAAACAATCAATAAATAAACATCATATATAAGTATTATATATAAGTATTATATATATGAAATTATACATATAATAATAATATAATAATATTAATGGCAATTTCGATAAAATTACAATTTCGACAAAAAAACGAATCTCTTTGAGAAATACCTCAATAAGGTATTTCTGAGCAGTTTACGTGTGATTTTCGCAGAGATTGTAGATTTTCGTATACGAAAAAAATAATTTTGCTCTTTTAGCAAAATTGTTATTGCTACTGCATATTTGTAGTGACAGCAAAAAAATTTAGTTGACGTAATTAATTTTACAAATTATTCGTTATTAGAGCAGAAGTAGTTTCGTTACCAGGATAGAAAAAATTTGTTGAGTGTATTTGTCACGTTAATTTGCTATCGATACAAAATAATGTATCCTTAGCAAATTTATTTCCTATCGGAGCAAACTGCAACTGCTTATATAAATCCATCATGGTTCTTACAGTAAAATAATTTGTAGATTCAGAAAATTATATCCAGCAAATAGTGATTAGTACTCTTAGCAAATCTTTTTTCTGCCCATATAATAACGAAAAAATTTTGCTAGATTAGCAGAAAATTTGCTGAGCCAGCAAATTATTTTTCTCTGTGTAGATAAACAATCTATATTTGAGTGTAATATGTATTTGTATATTTTCCATTATTATTGGTCTTTTGATACGATACGCCAAAAGTTAACAAGCTAGAGTTCTTATATGTATACATGAAGAAAATATGATAGTAAAAATTACAACAAAATATATTTATAATTTTAAACCATACAGAATTATAACCAAAGCTACTAAATCTACTTAAAAATGTTATGCACGTTTGACTTTTCACTATAAAATTACAGTAATTACTTGAACATTTTTTTATAATATTTTTATAATGTTTATATCCGTATATACCATCAGATAGATTGTCAAATTTATTGTTTTTGTAATAACAATGTCAGAATAGTCCAGCGTTATAAGAAAAACATTATAAAATTAATATAGTATTAATATTATTTTCAATACATTTCATATTATTTTCACTACAATACATACTTCGTATACGGTTAATTTATACGCGACATTGCGATTTGCATGCGATATACGGACACAGCAACGGAAATAAATTACACACAATCTTACCTCGTGTATTTTCCTGTGGTCATTCCCAACAGTCCCACCTTGAAAACTTGAATTTATTGCCACGACGACTCGCTCGATACTATTTCATATATCTGCATCGCCGCTTTGTGAGTTTCTTAGTTTTTGCTTCTTTCCTGGTCCACGATATAAACGTTTTTGCTGCTCAGCCAGCTTGAGCGGCTGATAGCTCTCGGCTTAATTGGCGAATAATTGTTGACGCGCGTGTCCATTGCGGTGTCACTCGCGAATCATTCTGGTCATGTAGACTGGCCTTTGTCTGCAATAACGTCTCGGCAGATGATAAACTTATCCGAGATATTACGAAAATGTTATTCGACGGGTCGCATAATATTAATAAAACATGATAAAACACAAAAGAGAGAGAAAGAGATATCATTTGTATATAAAGTAATTGCATTGGCGTGTGCGAAACTTGGTCAATCATACATATATACATCGGCATTATATCAATAAGTTCGATACTTCATAAATAAGGTCAAGTTATCTATGTGATATGGACAACAATACTGATAATATCTATATATTTGTTTGTAAAATAAATATATTTATAGCTTAATTAATACGTTCAATATAATGTGTAAGCCACCATAAACAAGTCATGTAAAATTATAATTTCTCGTCACGGAACGTGCTAATAAATAATTTATTTTCATTGAATGCGATACAATCAATTTCTACAATTATTATAAATTTTATTTAATTATTACAATCACTAGTATAATTATTATTGAATCTTATAATTATATTAATTATTAAGTTTTACTTTCTCAAAATCGAGCCCGAATTTTCAAGTAAATCCGGTAAATCATCTTAGCCATTATATGTGATAATTTATTGTCACAACGACGTATCTGCTGAACGTGTGCAGATTAAATAATCACGTTGGCTTATCGATGTCTGTCGACACGATAAAACGCCTTCATCGATGCAATCGTAAAACACGCGTGTATGTAGTCGCGCGGGGAAAGCGTTGCACAGATGAACTTTAAGGAGTTATCTTATTGCAATACATTTTTTCCGTCTAGTTTCATCTTGTTCCGTTTCTTCTATGTTACATTGTGTAACACAGCCAGCTGGATTCCAGATTGATCTTCATGGTAATTTATATACGTTACGTTAAATCAATGAAATAGAGAGTAAACTATATAATTATTGGCCTTCATCGGTGCAACCGCAAAACGCGCGTGCATATAGTCGCGCGGGGAAAGCGTTGCACAGGAGAACTTTAAGGAATTATCTCATCGCAATACATTTTTTCCGTCTAGTTTCATCTTATTCCATTTCTTCTACGTTACATTGTATAAAATAGCTGGATTCCAAATTAATTTACATGAAAGTTTATATATGTTACGTTAAATCAATGAAAAAGAGGGTAAACTACATAATTATTGGCTTTCTTTATGCCTGTTTCTACTAACGTCGATTAAAATCTATTCAGATGAAGACTTAAATTCAGACTAAAGTTTAATCGACATTGCTATACGCACATTGTTACACACGGAGAGAATATTATAATTTTCTTTTGCGTATAAATGCTTTTCAATTTTATATGTTTCTAATAGTGCAAGAAAATAGACTATCAATAAGATCTGTCTGGCTGCATAGTAAATTTCGCTAGAAAGATAGCAAATTTTTTAATAGCACATTTTAGAGTTCAATATTTAAGTAGCACTCTCATATAAATAGCTAAAAAATGTAAAAAAATCACAAATATATAAATAGTAATTTAAAATATAAATATATGAAATGAAAGAATAGTATTAATTGCAGAATGTTAATCTGTTGCTGGTCTATAAGATTCTATAATAATTTTTCCTGCAAAATTCTCTCCGTGTAGAAACGCGGACATTATTCACTAACGCTTTAAAAAAAACTTTTATACAACCAACAATTAAGCTTTTTGTATTTTTTTATTCCAAAAGAGATGTTCTAATACTGTGATAAGATTTCGCTGTCTCTAAGAAAAGTTTTTTTAGACAATGATTAAAGGAAGTGTAAGTAATTTTTATTTTTATATTTACGCCACACATGTGTGTGGAATACAATGGCAAACCGTAAATTAATATTGCTACACAGATCACAGTTGCAAATCGATGTATATTGCGTTGTCGTTTTCGCCGCTTTCTACTAATTAAATGTCAGAGATAACGCTATTGTTAATAATTGCATTCAGCGACAGTCGGTGCACTTTGCGCATCAGATTTGCGATATCTCGTTTGCGCTCTCCCTGTCACCCCCGCACCGCGCGATTTAAGATTCTGTAGCGACTGTTATATTTCATTACGGTTTAACGACAAGTATACTTAGTACGGTGGCATTTTTTTCATAGATAAGAGGGCCTTCGAAATCGTTTCTGGCTTGTCTTCGTTAGTCGAATGCTGTCTATCTTCGGCTGCTGTAGAAGTGAATCGAAATTGTTGACATTCCGCTTACTTGTCTAGCGTGATAAATTTTGTTAAGTGAGTTCTTATATTTTAATCCAAGAGTTCCATATTAATAACGGTAATTAGTAATCGCTTATATATCGAGCACCGTTCGGTTCTGAGTGATCTGTTAAACGTTGCGAGGTGGAAGTTCTGAGAATGTGAAGACAGACTTGTGCAAACATATGTCTATCTGAAGACCTATTTTCCAGTTGTGTTTGATATCGCCTGAGAAATTTGCAGGAAGAAACGAGTAGCAGAGAGGCGGTTAATCGAGAACATATCTGTGACATTCACGACAAATCGATAACTGTAAGCTGAAAACTGTTAAATTGTTATACTAAAGGTATTTTAGAAACGTTGGAATCTCTCTCTTCGAAAGATAATTTATTAGTAAAATAATAATTGATTTTATTTCTTTCTTTATTTGTGCTCTAGTAAAGAAGAGCGTTGCGAATTTAACGTGTTTTTGTTGGTTCGTCGGTCGGTTTGCAAATATACAAGTTACTTGCTTCCGGTTCCTCGTTTGTTAATCCCATATCACTGATAACTGACAAATTTATAAAACATTCCTTGTTTTAATACGTCGTTATCACGCGTATCGCTCGCGATATGTGTGCTCTGATTCTCGCTTGCTCTCTTCCCGTGAAAAAAAGCGCGTCGGATCTCACAAATTTACGATTGCCGTTCGTTAAATTGTCGCTCTTTTATCTACGCATCTCTAAAGAGATTTCAAAATAAACTATAGATAAGGCGCAATACAATATAATCAAATAAAACTTTTAAGACCTATAAGAGTCCAACGCGAGGTCGAAATGCACATGTTGACAAATATAAATTGTCTTAGTGTACACAAAGTTAGATATAATAAAATATTAAAATGTCACAGGCGTTTCGGTGCTAATTTGGATCTTTCTCAATGCACAAAGACATAGTAGAAATTTAATGTAATGTGATAATTCGAAACGTCCGAAGAAACACATACAAAAATTAGAAATTAAAGACGAGTGGTTTATACATATCGAAGGTTTTTGTTAAATACTGGCTGGAGAACGGCGTTTGTTTACTTTTGTAGTAAGTTCATAAGCGTTTGTGTTGCGAGAAATACTCTCGAATCATCTCAGTAACCAAATTAGTAAGACAATTAATCAAATTACCAAATTAGTAAGGCAATTAATCCCGCGTAAGCGGGAAGTCCAGGTTTATTTTCTGGCTGAGGCATAACGCTAATATAAATCATTATTGCACACGGAGAAGAAAGTATAGTTGAATTAACGTGACAATGAGTCAAATACGTTTTGGCTGAAAGAAATTTTGCTTTTCAGAATCGAATTTGATTCATAAAAGCCAGAAATACTGTTTTCAAAACGCGTTTGGTTCATTTATTGTTACGTTAATTCAGTCAATCTCTTTTCTCTCTGTGCATGAGTATCGTTAACGGTGATAAGCGGGGAAACATTATAGAACAAATTTCGACTTAACGCGGAAGTTGTAGAAAACACTGCATTGAGAAAAAATTACTAAAAAATTTATTTGTAGGACAAATATTTATTTCACTGTGAGAAATATATAGATGACAATTTTTAATGCAATATCTCTATTTAATCCGAATTAACATACACTTTTTCTAAGCGTAGGGAATGCGGATGTAGCAACAATAATAGTTTTCTCCGTATCGATTTGTCATGTACGTTCTCAAACAGCACAAATGTCTAAAATACGTCTCAGAAAGATATCTTAAAGATATTTATATAAGTAGGATATTCTTCAGACGCCTTTAAGATGTCTTTTGAACATTTATGCTGTATGGGTTATAAACCGCGGAAATTTTGGCGCATTTTTACATTTACATTGCCAAATATTGAAAATTTAACACGGATGTCTTGCAGCCGGCCTTAATCGGCTCGTGTTCTATAAATAGATTTTACATGTATATTTCCTAAATAAGCCTATCGAGAATCAATCATGACCGACAGTCACATATGTTCTAGCAGGCTGCGAATTAGTTACGGAAAAAACATTACGCAAGAACGTGTGTGTGCCTGCCTGCCTTGGTCGACAGCTCGCACTTACTTCAGTTTTTCCACACGAGAATCACTTTTCGTTTTATTCATGCCTTTTTTTGACATTTTCAAAGTTGAAAGGAGACATGGGGGTGACGAAATTCAGCGGTACGACGATGGACAGATTGACTGATACGACCGAGAAAATCGTCGAGAAGAAGAGTGCGTGCATAAAGATAGACGAAGTAACAAGCGAAGAGGATAAGATCACCTTGGAGGATTTGGCGCCGGACGGTGGCTGGGGATGGATGATCGCACTGGCGATGATACTAATTATTGTCAGTATAATAATCAATGGCATTAAATATATAATTAGAGTGAATCAATTGTCATTAGAATCATACATAAAAAGAAAATAAAAAAAAAGAAAAAGAACAGAAAGAGAGAATAACGTTCGGAACTTTTGCAAATATAAAAGACAAATGGATTTTACATATGCATGAGTGTTTAATCGAAGAGTTTTCATTGCCGCAGATCACTACAATCGGCCCGTCGTCATCGTTCGCCATAATTTTCGGTGACTTCCTGGAAGAATCGGGGATGGCTGGTATGGCGTCGAGTCTCTTCAATTCCGTCTTCATGATCACATACTCCATTTCTAGTAAGCCATATTTCTCGCGGTTCGATCGATGTGTCTATGTGCTGTTAAACGAAATAATCGTTGTAAATTTTACGAACGCATCATTTGAGAGAGGCGCGCTTTTATCTATGAGCTTCTACTTCTTCACGAGACTAGCTACTCTTGGAAAAGGAAAATTTGTGTTTACAATCGACACAAGTGATAAGGAGATCAAACAGCTTTTGAAATAAGAGCGCGGTCCTTCGACACGTATTTTTATCACCGGCGTCGTGCGCATTAAGCTTTTCTTGCAAACTTGCGACTCACGGCATTGAAGTTCTCGTACATAGCAGATGCGAGGAACGATCGTGAATCTTGGACACGCTATATATAGCGAACATTTGCGTCTAAGATACTTCGAAATTATCCGATAAAAAATTAACAAATGGATATTTCCGATCAAAATGCCAATGAATTTTTATATTCGATCAAGAAACGTCCGATAAGAAATATCGGTTTATAATTTTTTGATCGGTTTATCTGATGAAATGCCATTATGATCGGAAGTATTCGATTAAATTCTTTCAGAGTGTTTGATGAGATTAGAAGGAAGGCAAAGTATTTTACGAGCTAAATCGACACGCGAAGTCAAATCCATCCCAAATTCACTGTCCTTTTCTTCTAGGTATGATGACTAATATGTTTTTAAAAAGATACTCTGTGAGATCTGTCGGAATTATGGGAGCGCTCTTTTTCGCGATACCAGACATCATCCTCGCGTTCGTTCGGAATATATACGAAATGGCTTTCCTCTTCTTCCTGCAAGGTTTTGGACTAGGTTTGATCCTTACGATCTGCAACACGGTTTTTAATGCGTACTTCGTGAAGAAACGAGCGAAAGTAAGACGTTTGCGACTTTGACGAATCGATCTTGTTCACATATATATCCGAGCTTTTAAATTATCCGAAAGAAGCACTCTTCCTCCTTTCCTTTATCTTGTCTTTTTAGGTAATGAGCGCGTCGCAAGTCGTCATCGCTTTGGGCGGTATCATTTATCCAATGTTGACCGAGAAAATGATGATGTCGTACGGCTTTCGCGGTAAGATTCTGGTGAAGGTAATGCCGCGAATGATTCGTCGTAACGTTCACTTGCCGCTTGTCACTCGTGCCAGGTACTGCTGCGATCATGGGAGCGTTGAGTTTGAACAGTGTCGTCGGTATGACATTGATGCATCCCGTGGAATGGCACGCCAGGAAGCCGAAGGAGGTCCTTGCCGAGAGAGCGCGTGCGAGACAGGAGAAATATCGGGAGCATTATTTGGCACTGTCGAAACGCCGATCGACTATCGACGTGATCTACGCCTCCTCCAAGGCTAGATGGAGCAGTCTACGTAGCTTGAAGGAGGAGAATTGCAAAGAGATGTCATTGTTGATCGAGAATCTCAAGGTAATGTTAAGTACAGCGGAATGACGCTCCGTATGATTGTTCCCATATGAGTGTCGACTCTTACTTCTTTGAACGATTGTATCCTTCAAACCGTACTTTCGTCGACTTTGTGATCAGACTCCTGCGCATAGGGTCGCGTCGCATCCAACGATCGAGGGCGAAATCCGCGGCAGGTCAGGGTCTATACGAGAAAGTTTAACGAAAGGTATATCGACTCTTTCAACGTCCAGTTTGGCCAATTTGGCGAGCGACGTCAGCGCATTGAGCGACATGCGGCAACGTCACCTGGAGAAGAAGAACAAAAAGAGACAGTGGGAAACGGATTTTCAAGAAAAAACGAAGAATGAGAAACAGGACGTGTTCGAAGAAAAACAGGAAGAGGAGGTGCAAACAGAGTGAGTTATCGCTTGTAACAAAACGTTTCATGACAGTGTTCGTTTAATATCGCATTATAATTAAACTGATACTGTCAGTATTAATCGGATACTTTCATACACGAATACGCAGGTGTTTGGGAACTCAGCTAATATTTGGGCACTTGAATACTCAGATAGTAATTGGCATCCTAATACCTGGAGTGTAGAAATATTCTGTACTTGGACCTTGGACCAGTACTTAGGTACCTGAATAGTATTTAATATCCTGATAACAGAGTATCTTGTTAATTTTGGGCACTTGGACAATATCTATTATCCTAATATCTGGATATCCGAGTATAAAAATATCCAGCATCCACAGATACCTGGGTACCCGGCTAGTATTTGAGTGTCTCTAATATTTGGGTATCCAGGTAGTATCTGATGTCCTTTTGTTATTCTCTCACTAATTCAGTTCTATTTTGGTTCACCTTATATTCGTTTGGCGTCGCATTTCATCACTCTATATTCACTGTTCGATAACACGGATAACAATGACCCGATTTATTTCACGAATGTCGCAGGTGCAAGACTATTCTGAACGAATTAGTGGACATGTCGCTGGTAAAGAACTGTTGCTTTTTAAACTTGTGCTTTGGCGTCAGTTTCGTGTGCACCGCTGACTATGCCTTTTCTTCTTTGCTCCCTCTCATGATGACTGACGCAGGATACACCAAGGCAGACGGCGCAAGAACTGTCACGTTAAGCGGGACAACCGAGCTGATTTCGAAAGTCTTATTGGCTGTTTTTACGCTGATAGTTAACGTACAATCAAAATACATGTTTTTCGTAGCTATGATCCTCATGGAATTCGCGAGGATCGGTAAGTAATGTGCGATCAAGTGAACTTCACACCTTTGAATTTCTTCGATTCTCGAGATGACGAGTGTGAATCGCGATTTTTACAGGATTCTTGCTGTGCGAGCATACGTTGACGGGCGCGCTTATTATGATTGCGATAATTGGAGTTGTGCGACCATGGCTGCTAGTTCCGCAGCCTCTGGTCATTATCGAGGACATTAGTATAAAGAAGCTCGCCTCGGCTTATGGCATCAGCGCGGTTATCGCTGGTTTGGTCACAGTGATATTCGGCGCTTTAGTAGGTAAGACGAAAAAATAGAAATGTTAACGGACATTTGACACGCAATATAATCGGAAAGACACACGTATAATCTGGCGCGTTTTGCAGGATTCATCAAGGATTGGACTAACAGTTACAAAATGTACCAAATCTCTTTATTGGTGATGAACGGCGTTTTTATTGTACCATGGGCTGTTCAATTCGTTCTCGTGGAAAAACGACGGAGGCAACGTGCAACCACTAAGAATTCTTTACCCACTGTTTAATGGTAAAAAGAGACGATTAGATATGAAACGTTGTGTACTCATAGTGAAATCATAGTGACATGTGTTGACACACGAATTGTTTAATAGACGAGTGAAGGAGTGACAATGATAAAAATGAACTGTATCTTCGGCAATTATTCATTTCGAGTGGTAATACTCGATACATAACGAATACCTCCGATTCATATAATGTTTGAGGACTTTTTCATTTGTACTAAAAAAGTATCTTGTGGTGCTGCATTTTTCATTTTGTACATGTACGAAGCAAGTGTGGATTTTTTAAGTGAAATATATTATAGTAGTAGATAAATAATTAGTGCTGTACCATGAATAATCTTTATTAAAAAAGAAATACTCTTTCCACTGAAAGAGAATCTCTTTTATTCCAAAAGATTATTCAGGGTAAGTTGAAGTGGGATCATTTCAATTTTGCACATGTACAAAGCATCGTGTAGATTTCTGCAAACGAGATATACTACCGAAATTATGGCCGGAACGAATAAATAATTCGTGCTTTACCATTACGTTTTATTTGCCTCAATATATAAAGTACTTTGGTTTTACCTTAATATTGGCCACTGACACAAATTCGACATCGAATTCGTAACCGACACAAATATAGGATAATGTGTTATATATGTACAAGTACAAGTAAATTATAAATAATTTTGTAAAAAAAGGACGATTATTTGTTATTTTAAACAAAATACTCTTTCTTCAAGTATATCGTGTAAAAGCGCTCTGGAAAGGTAAATAGAAAAGTAAGTCAGTAGAGACAAATACTTCGATATATATGATTGAGAACTATACAGAGAATAAAATTCTTACCGAGATTCTTACAGATTAAATTATTTCATGTTTATATCTCATGCTTGTGCGGGGATAGTAACCCCCCTCTGACACATGGGTTTACGCGGCTCGATCTTGATAGGAAATCCGTCTCCTCTCTTCAGGATAATGTCGGCTCGCAAGACAAAGTCTTTATACGACACGTCAGAAGTAATGCGATAATTCCTCAATATTGTCGACAATAATACCTTCAATTTCAGCATAGCGTATTTTCGTCCTACGCACGATCTGTGAAAAAACACGGTTTATTACTAACGGGCTTCATGATACCTTCACGGAATGTTCGTGACGCAGGGATTGAGTCCTAGGATATTACGAGAAGAGTTTTCATGACAAAAAACATTCTTTGTTACCTCGGTCCAGCGCTGAAGGGAATAAAAGCGTAGTAATGTCTTTGCTGCATCCTCTCTGGTAGAAAATTGTCCGGATTGAAAACTAGTGGATTCGGATAATATTTTTCCGAACGGTGTAGTAGAAATTGTACGATTACTACAGTGACGTTCTTCGGAATGACGTAATTGCCAGTAACTTTAAAAGAAAGAGGTTTTTGATTTTTTTTGTATTCAATTTATAATACAGGTATAATACACGCAAAATGATATAATTAACATTCCTTAGTGACGCAATCATATCTAATTGGATTGACTGACCTATCCTCACGTCTTCATTAACCTTCCTAGCGATTAATGGTACCGGCGGGAAGAGCCTTAGAGTCTCCAGAATAACCCTCTCGAGATACTTCATTTCCATTGTATCATGGAAAGTGCACTGTCTGTCGCTGTCGCCGAAAATCGAGTCCAATTCTTCGTGCACACGTGCCTGCACAGTGCAAATTGATACTGTTACTATAACCACCCGGGTGTTTTTATACTTGAATAGTCAAAATTATAAATATTAGTTTGGTATTGGAGTATTCAAATCCACGAATACTATCTGAATACCAAAGTAAAAATTAAAGTTTTAATGGAATCTAGTTTCTGTCTCTCTTTCTCTCTTATATAAGTATATTGTTGTTTTAAATCTGAATATAAAAGTGATAAGATGACGTAAGCATGTATGAGAAAAGCGAATACCGATATATTTCATATTTTATTTTAGCATATTCTAATGTAAAAACTATAAGTTTGGTATTTTTTATTGTTGACTTACTTTAATATCTTTATGACATTAAAAAGTGATTTGAAAAATAGATAAGAAGAGATAAGAATAATAATAAGAATTTTTAGCTGTTTATTTATCTGCACAAGGAATGTCTTACTATCTAGAATGAAAACCACCAGTGCAATATCATTAAGCCGGAAAAGAAGGTAAAGAAAAGACAATCGACAAACGATCACCACGATTGATAGCAAGGACGCAACTCAGTAATCGAGAGCAAATATCACAGATCGCGGTTGATTGTATGTAACTGAATCAACAATTTAACTGTACGACAAAAATTAACAATTTCTTAATGGAATGGGCGGAATGGGCAATGCAGTGAACGGTAAGAAGTTGTTTATCCAAATGTGTGCCACATGTCATACTATGGAAAAGGATGGCAAACATAGAATAGATCCTAACCTGCATGGCATCATGGGCAAAACTTGCGGAAGTGAATATATAAAACGACCGATTAGTTTACAACCAATTAGTCTACAATTAATTAGCTTATAAATAATTAAATACTCTGGAGATAAAGATAGAAAAATTTTGCTGTTGCGCGGTCTTCTCGTTTGCGAATTATTGAGCGCGTTAACATGCGATTCATGCAGCAATTTCATTCAGATTCATAGCAACTTCGGAATTCAATTTTTCGCAACACATAAAGGAGAAAACTATCGTAACCATCGGAACGAGAACACTTTAAACGAATACTTGGAGGTGCCTAATAAATTCATTCCGCGAACGAGGATGGTGTTCTTTGGTGTTAAGAAGGTGCAAGATCGCAAAGACTTGATCGCCTTTTTATTTACATTAAAGTAACGTGTCTTAATAAAATGTTCAAAAGCGAAACAACATTACTGGACGTAAAAGACGTAAAAGACGTGTGCTGATATCATTATAATGTAAGTACAATGCGACAAATAAGAAATAAATTATTAGTTTGTAATGATGTTATTGGCCCGTGATATATTCTAGACAGACGAAATTTTATGTTAAACGGAAAGCAATGTCGTTTCTCGTATTTCGCGGACGTCTATCGTGCCTCGAGGATTTTCGAGGATTCAAGAATATACAGGTATAGACATTTAATTCTGAATAAATTTACCTGGATTTCGGGTAGAGATCCCAACACGCAGAGTGCAAAACTCGAGCCGGCTGCTGTGGTGTCGTGACCCTGTAACATTTTCGTTAAATTATCTCCCTTCTCGACGTGTCATCGCTTTAACGCGATATGACGCATGTGACGATATAACGTAGCAATACATGGAATTTAATTTCATAGACTTAGTAGAGTGACACGGTGAATCGTAAAAAATACTTGCAACAAAAATTAGATCAAACCTCAAACATGATAGTGTTGACTTCTTCCCATATCTCCTCGTCGGTCATCTGTCCGCCGTTTTTCTTCATATCCATCAACATCTCTAAGAAGGCGAGTCGCTTTTTCTCGCCCGTGTCGTTCTCATCGATATCATCGAGATCATCTCTTACGTAATGCAGTTTTGTGTAATTGACATATTCCGTGTCTTTAGTCGCGGTCGATTTTTTACACTTGATGTCATCGTCCTGCGTTCCTCTCTTTTCCTGTTCTTCGATATCCTTCCATTTCTCCTTGATCACGTTCCCCGTCAACAAATGAACGGTATCGAGCAACTTCTGTTGCACGTTGGCGAGTTTCGTGAATTTGAACAATTGGTCCGGGCGTATAGTGATGTCGTAGTGTCGTCGATGTACGATATCACTCAGTCTGCAGCATTTGAGACACGTATTCGTGTGGGAAAGAGGGAGAAAGAGGAGCTTTTTCGTATATGGGAAACAATAAAATGTTTACTCAAAAAAAGATATAAACATTATCATTAGCAGAATCCTCTTATATAGGATATTTCACGAGATAATATATACTTATTTCATGTGGGTAGGTCAAACTGAACAAAAAGTTCTTCTACCGTTTTGCGAATAACTACGTGAAATATTAAATTATAGGTAATTAATTAAAAAAGATTGGCGAATATGATTGTGCATGATACTAGAAAGAGAATTCTCCTAAACCCAAGAGCAACATGTTTTAAGCACAATATTCTTAAAGTTAGAAAAATGTCATCTATTATTTGCAGATCTTGCTTGACGCATCTCTCGCGCATAAAAGGTATTCAACTTTAAATTAACAATTCTTCTTGAATTAAAAAAAAAATTATCATAGTGTTTAGTTTCGATTAATCGATTAATATTATTAGAAGAGAAGTATTTTTTCGATAAGTTTGGTTTAGAACATGGGATTACAGGGATTTATGCTGTGCAACTAAAGTTTCTTTTAACCTTTTGTGTTACAAATTTCTCCTTACAAACGATGCACTTGAACCTTATTACTCGGGGGTTTTGGGGTCGCTGATTGCGAATCTGAACTCAAAATTTTGAAATTCAAAATGACGGATTCAATATAGCGGATAAAAATGTGAAAAATATCTTGATTAGAATAAAACTTGACACTCGCGTGCAATAAGCAAGCATTCTTTATTTTTCATAATTCCAATGATGTTTAAGAAATATAAAAATATCAAATTTGCTAAATAAATCATTTAAACTCTATGAAAATATAATAAAATGTGAATAAATGTAAATGGATCTCTGGGTGACCCGTTGTGACTCTAAGGGTTAAGCTATATATGAGCTACATATATAAAAAGATTCTGCAAAGAATAAGATTGTATTTTTTGGATGTTATGTAATTTTGAAATAGAATAACAACAACGCTTACTTCATTACGGCCATTGCATATTCATAACTGGTGTTCTGCCTCCTCTTTCTACTAACTCCCATCGCAGTTTCCGTCAAGATGTCAACAGTAACCGCCGATAAGTAATCATGGCAATCGAACTCCTGACCAACCTTATCGCGAAGTCGATTCACGAGGTCTAAGCTATTCTGGTAAAATAAAGGTACAAATGTCTTCAGGATGCTCATGTGGAATGTAGGAACTATCGCCTTCCTATGTTTACGCCATTTGGCACCGGTAGTGATCAGCAAGCCATCTCCAAGCCAGGGTTTGAAGAGTCTATAGTGCAACGATGAGGATGATTTTAGGTTAGACGTACAAGGCTACTTTGAAATTACTGATTCCTTACCCATACTCCACGGACTTGTCGAGATGGACGGTGCTACCCAAGATTATCTCGATGTCTTGCGGATCTGTTAGGAAGACAAAACCTCTTGGTCCTAAGTGTGCCGATATGACTGTCCCATATTGTTGGTGTAAGTCAAAACTTTTGCGTACAGCAGTTTCGGGATCTACTTTCAAACTTATTAGAGCATGGCCTAAGATAGGTACACGTGGTGGATCTGGAAGAAAGCAAATTGAAAATTAATGGCGAGTTCAATACTTCGATCGATTATAAATCGTGTGCGACACAAAACGCATCGGTAGAGGGTCCATGTGACATCAAAGTCAATGTTATTATTATTGAAATGTTTCTATAATATCTCAGTAAATTAAGTTTTTTTATATGGTGATATAATGCTGTAAATTTTCTTTCTAATCTCTAATCTTCATTTCTGTCGGAGAGAATAGCACATTAACTAAAATTATAACATTAGCTTAAGATTGTAAAATATTTACATTTTAATAAATATCAAAATCTTAATTTAACTGCAAAGCAACTTTTAATTGACCAAGAAAACCTTGCATTAATGTTCGGGTTTTTAAGGTTTATTAGAAGTCCCGGAAAGTACATTTTAAGGTCATGATAACAACGCTAACACATCTTTAGCAACATAATTAAAAGCTTAAGTTCAATGTAGCTTTAATGTTTTATGTTATATGGGAGATATCAGTATTTGTCGAGCCCTGGGACTCTGTGAGTCTCTTACGTACTTGGTAACTTCAGCAGAAGACGAACTTCACGTCTGGTTTCGATGTAGAAGTACAAGGCGATCAGTGTGACGATGAGCAGAGCGAGAAAAGAGTAACCTATATTTGGCAAATACGTCAATATCGAATCCATTTTTGCATCCAATTGTTGATGTATCTTTGGATATGATGGATCTATTTCCCTCTTTCTCTGTTTTCGTGTATAAAAATTATATCGAGATTATTGTGAGGACACCACTTTATAGAGTATCCGAAAGATCCTTTCGTGATATTTATCACTATTTAGCTTTCGAAACTCACAAGCTCCCGCGATACAACGGGGACTGCGTTGCTCTACTTTACGTGCTGCCAATTTATAAACATGTTTTCTATTGTTTGTGGTCTGGAAAAATTGCACTTTAACTTGACCTTCCTGAATTATACGAGTGACTTCTCGGATTTGTGACGTCGCATATTAATATGGAAACTCGACCATCACTTTTGTGGCCTGCTCGCGACAAGGGAAAAATAGAAAACGTAGCTCCTAAGAATCGACTGAAATAGGCAACTATATAACTCTGTAATAAATTATAATTTATTCATCTAAAACTGTATTCTAATGTACTTGCGTAGTGAAAAGCATTACTAGACACAAATCGCAGTGTTGCATTGTTTTTGCGCAATCCGCGTTAAACTTTGCCGTATAGAGAGACAGCTTCGCAGAAAGTCTTACCGTAGCTAAGAGATTAATATTCGTTCACATGGAAATAATGCAACCGAACGTGATACAACAATAGGAACGTTGTTTCTCTAGAAATTGATTCTTTGGTAAGAGAAAAAAATTAAATCACCTTCAAAAGACCTAAAAAAGTATGAAATTATTTTAGCTCAATATTCCTATGCATCTACAATCTTAATGAATCCTACAGAACGCGCCAGATTATACGTGTGTCTTTCTTATTATATTGCGTACCAAATGTATCTCAACATTTCTATTTTTTCGTCTTACCTACTAAGGCGCTGAATACCACTGTGACCAAACCAGCGATAACCGTACTGATGCGGTTGAAAGAATTCAAAGATGTGGAGTTCACTTGATCGCACATTATTTATCGATTCTCGCGAATTCCATGAGGATCGTAGCTACGAAAAACATGTATTTTGACTGTATGTTTATTACCAGCGTAAGAGCGCTATAGGATAAGTATCCATGTTAGGAAAGGAAACGCATTTATAAAAAATTTTTTACTTATTTTTCATCATAGTGTCCTGTCAGCTCGATACACTTAATCCAGCGATATTCCAACGTTTTTATACCATCCAAAAAATATGATTTGTCGAACTCCGCAAAATAGGCCTCTGTTTCGACGATGACTTCCTCGTTTGACGTAAACCGCTTTCCGCCATTTTTTCATGTTTGGAAATAAATAGAAGTCGCAAGGGGCAAAATCTGGACAATAGGGTGGATGAAACAGCAATTCGTAGCGGAATTCGACCAGTTTTGCTGTGGCGATTGCGGATTAATGAATGAGCTGGTGCGTTGTCATGATAAAAGAGCACTTTTTTCTTTGCCAAATGGTGCCGTTTTCTCTTCAATTCAGCGTAGAATTGGCCTAATAAATCAGCATAGTACTGCCCCGTGATTGTCCTTCCCTTCTCCAAATAGTCGGTGAAAACGATGCCTCGCGAATTCCAAAAAACGGTGACCATGATCTTTCCGGAGATGGAACCGTTTTTGTCTTCTTTGAAACAGGTTCGCTAAATGAAGTCAACTGTTTTGACTGTTCTTTTGTTTCTGGCGTATTGCGATGGATCCATGTTTCGTCATCAGTAACAAAACACCGCAGAAACTCTTTCGGATTGCGCTTAAACGTGTTCAAACAGTGCTCCGAAGTTGTCATGCGATTCCGTTTTTGTTCCACTGTGAGTAAACGCAGCACCCATCTCGCCGATAGCTGTCTCATGTCCAATTTTTCATATAGGATATTTTGCGTTCAAGTGAGATATTTACAATGTCAGCAATCTTCACTCGGCGGTCTGCTAATACGATATCATCGATTTTGTTGATCACATTCTCCACCATCCATAGTCACCTCAATCGGACGACCTGGGCGCTCTTCATAAAAAACCACGGATGTTCAGCCACGCTTGAATTCATTGAACCAATATCTGATGGAAGTAATCGAAGGTGCATGATCCTTACAAACGGCAACTGCACTTTGCCTCACACGTCTTCCCATCCAAAAAAAGGAATCGAATCACTGACCGATATTGTTCTTTCTCCATGGTTGCAAAGAAACATAAATTTGTCCACTTTCAACAGTTATCAAAACAAAACTACTCGATTGTCTGAAATTTGTCTGAAATTTTGACTGGCGTCGTTCGAAAGATGGCATTAAACGATGGTATACAGGCTCTTGACTAGAAAGAAAGAAGCTGCTAGCTACTACAGCTTTTCTCATTGGTCAAGAGACATAATCGCAGCCGCAGCCGCAATCGCGAGTCCCTAATGTGATACGGCTATAACGTGACGGTCTTTGCGCCTTGATGTACAGTATGTTTGATAAGAGCGTGTACGGCAAAACTTTTTCCTCGAAACCGTTAGAGGGGGGATATGAACGCGAGCCAATAGCGGGGCTCTTCTCTCAAGATGCTTTGTCTAGAAAGCCTTAGTTATCGTTTGACTTTCGTCACAAAAGGGCGTATTTCAACATGAGTGCCGCGTACGCATCACGTTACGAAGCTGTGTTTCTATGTTCGCATCCGAAAGGACCAAAAATGTCGCGCGGAGCGGCTGCTAAGTATATGAAGAAGTCTAAGGCGTTTGTGAGTAAGTGGGTGAAACGTTATTCCGAGGTCAAAAACGTTGATGACTTGCCGGATCGTGGCTCTGTGCAGAAAACGACGAAAAAGGAGGACAAAATGATTTTACGGGTGTTTGAGAAGAATCCTTGTTTATCATTGCGTGGCGGGCAAGCGGTTTTACTTAAAAAGGGTCTAAATATATCATGTCATACTATAAGAAGACGTTTACTGGCTCATAAAGTGAAATTTCGAAGCACGATAACGAAACCGTTGCTGTCTGAAAAACACGTCGAAAAAAGACTTGCTTGGGCAAAAGAAAATTTGGACCGCTATTGGGGCAACGTAATTTTTTCAGATGAAGCTTCGTTTTGGGCAAAGTCTTCTATGAGACGTGTCTGGACTACCCAGGCCAATAGACTCATCGAGCGGACCGTTAAACATCCGGTAAAGGTGCACGTCTGGGGCTGTTTCTCAAAACAGGGATTTGGCACTTTACACATCTTTACACAAAATTTGGATGCTGCTAAAATGGTCCAAATATATGAGAGAGCTTTATTACCATCTGCCCAAAGGTGGTTTACGAGGAAAAATGAAAATTGGCTACTGCAAGAGGACAATGATCCGAAACATCGGAGTAGACTTTGTACTGCGTGGAAACAAGAAAATGACGTTGACGTACTGGATTGGCCTTCACAGTCGCCAGATGCAAATCCAATTGAAAATGTTTGGGCGCTTATAAAGTTTAAGCTCCGAGGAAAGAAAATATGGACCGTCAAGCAGTTAATTCGACAGATTCGATTTATATGGAGATCTTTGTCTGAAGATTATGCTGTAAAATTAGTAGAAAGTATGCCTCGGAGATGCCAGTCAATTATTGATAATGGAGGCGACTGGACAACTTATTAATCATGCATCTATATCATGCATAATGTGTACAAATTTTTTCAATTTATGTATTATCCTAAGTTTTTGAGTTTTGCCGTACACGCTCTTATCAAACATACTGTACCTGCGTCATAGCCATACCCTGACACGCAATATAATCGGAAAGACATACGTATAATCTGGCGCGTTTTTCATCAAGGATTGGACAAATAGTTACAAAATGTATCAAATCTTTTTATTGCACGGCGTTTTTATCGTACCTTGGGTTGTCCAATTCGTTCTCGTAGAAAAACGACGGAGGCAACATGCATCTACCAAGAATTCTTTACCCGCTGTTTAATGATAAAAAGAGAATTAAATGTGAAAAGTTGTGTACTCATAGTGAAATCATAGTGACGTGTGTTGACGAACGAAGGAGTGACGATGATAAAAACGAACTATATCTTTGGCATTTCTTTATTTCGAGCGATAATACTCGATACATAACGAGTACCTCCGATTCATATAATGTTTGAGATCTTTTCCATTTGTACAAAAAAAGTATCTTGCCGTGCTGCATTTTTCATTTTATACGAAGCAAGTGTGGATTTTTTAAGTGAAATATATCAATTAGATAAATAATTAGCGCTGTACCATGAATAATCTTTATTATAAAAGAAATACTCTCTCTACTGAAAGAGAATCTCTTTTGTTACAAAAGTTTATTCGGGGTAAGTTGAAGTGAGATTATTTCTATTTTGCACATGTGTAAAGCATCGTATAGATTTTTGCATACGAGATATACGTTTTATTTGCCTCAATATATATAAGAGTTACATTGGTACTTCTATCTTAATATTGGTCACCGAATTCGTAATCGACAAAAATATAGAATAATATATTACACATGTACAAGTATAAGTAAATTATAAATAATTACAAAAAAGACGATTATTTGTTATTTTAAACAAAATTTATTTTTTCTTCAAGTATATCGTGTAAAAGCGCTATGGAAAGGTAAATAGAAAACTTAGTTAGTCAGTAGAGACAAATAGTTCGATATATATGATTCAGAACTATACAGAGAATAAAATTTTTACTGAGATTCTTACAAATTATATTATTTCATGTTTATACTATCTCATGCTTATGCGGGAATACTAACTCCCGTCTAACACGTGGGTTTACGCGGCTCGATCTTGATAGGAAATCCGTCTCCTCTCTTCAGGATAAGGTCGCCTCGCAAGACAAAGTCTTTATATGACACGTCAGAAATAATGCGGTAATTCCTCAATATTGTCGACAATAATACCTTCAATTTCAGCACAGCGTATTTCCGTCCTACGCACGATCTGTGAAAAAACACGGTTTATTATTAACGGACTTCATGATACCTTCACGGAATGTTCGTGATGCAGGGATTGAGTCTTAGGATATTACGAGAAGAGTTTTCATGACAAAAAACATTCTTTGTTACCTCGGCCCAGCGCTGAAGGGAATAAAAGCGTAGTAATGTCTTTGCTGCATCCTCTCTGGTAGAAAATTGTCGGGATTGAAAACTAGTGGATTCGGATAATATTTTTCCGAACGGTGTAGTAGAACTTGTGTGATTACTACAGTGACGTTCTTCGGAATGACGTAATTGCCAGTAACTTTAAAAGAAAGAGGTTTTTGATTTTCTTTGTATTCAATTTATGATACAGGTATAATACACGCAAAATGATATAATTAACATTCCTTAGTGACGCAATCGTATCTAATTGGATTGACTGACCTATCCTCACGTCTTCATTAACCTTCCTAGCGATTAATGGTACCGGCGGGAAGAGCCTTAGAGTCTCCAGAATAACCCTCTCGAGATACTTCATTTCCATTGTATCTTGGAAAGTGCACTGTCTGTCGCTGTCGCCGAAAATCGAGTCCAATTCTTCGTGCACACGTGCCTGCACAGTGCAAATTGATACTGTTACTATAACCACCCGGGTGTTTTTATACTTGAATAGTCAAAATTATAAATATTAGTTTGGTATTGGAGTATTTAAATCCACGAATACTATCTGAATACCAAAAAAAAATTAAAGTTTTAATGGAATCTGGTCTGTCTCTCTTTCTCTCTCATGTAAGTATATTGTTGTTTTAAATCTGAATATAAAAGTAATAAGATGACGTAAGCATGTATGAGAAAAGCGAATACCGATATATTTCATATTTTATTTTAGCATATTCTAATGTAAAAACTATAAGTTTGGTATTTTTTATTGTTGACTTACTTTAATATCTTTATGACATTAAAAAGTGATTTGAAAAATAGATAAGAAGAGATAAGAACAATAATAAGAATTTTTAGCTGTTTATTTATGTGCACAAGTCAAGGAATGTCTTACTATCTAGAATGACAACCACCAGTGCAATATCGTTAAGCCGGAAAAGAAGGTAAAGAAAAGACAATCGACAAACGATCACCACGATTGATAGCAAGGACGTAACTCAGTTCTTTATCCAAATGTGTGCCACATGTCATACTATGGAAAAGGATGGCAAACATAAAATAGATCCTAATCTGCATGGCATCATGGGCAAAACTTGCGGAAGTGAATATATAAAACGACCGATTAGTTTACAACCAATTAGTCTACAATTAATTAGCTTATAAATAATTAAATACTCTGAAGATAAAGATAGAAAAATTTTGCGGTTGCGCGGTCTTCTCGTTTGCGAATTATTGAGCGCGTTAACATGCGATTCATGCAGCAATTTCATTCAGATTCATAGCAACTTCGGAATTCAATTTTTCGCAACACATAAAGGAGAAAACTATCGTAACCATCGGAACGAGAACACTTTAAACGAATACTTGGAGGTGCCTAAGAAATTCATTCCACAAACGAGGATGATGTTCTTTGGTGTTAAGAAGGTGCAAGATCGCAAAGACTTGATCGCCTTTTTGTTTACATTAAAGTAACGTGTCTTAATAAAATGTTAAAAAGCGAAACAGCATTACTGGACGTAAAAGACGTAAAAGACGTGTGCTGATATTATTATAACGTAAGTACAATGCGACAAATAAGAAATAAATTATTAGTTCGTAATGATGTTATTGGCCCGTGATATGTTCTAGACAAACGAAACTTTATGTTAAACGGAAAGCAATGTCGTTTCTCGTATTTCGCGGACGTCTATCGTGCCTCGAGGATTTTCAAGAATATACACGTATAGACATTTAATTCTGAATAAATTTACCTGGATTTCGGGTAGAGATCCCAACACGCAGAGTGCAAAACTCGAGCCGGCTGCTGTGGTGTCATGACCCTGTAACATTTTCGTTAAATTATCTCCCTTCTCGACGTGTCATCGCTTTAACGCGATATGACGTATGTGACGATATAACGTAGCAATACATGGAATTTAATTTCATAGACTTAGTAGAGTGACACGGTGAATCGTAAATAGCACTTGCAACAAAAATTAGATCAAACCTCAAACATGATAGTGTTGACTTCTTCCCATATCTCCTCGTCGGTCATCTGTCCGCCGTTTTTCTTCATATCCATCAACATCTCTAAGAAGGCGAGTCGCTTTTTCTCGCCCTTGTCGTTCTCATCGATATCATCGAGATCATCTCTTACGTAATGCAGTTTTGTGTAATTGACATATTCCGTGTCTTTGGTCGCGGTCGATTTTTTACACTTGATGTCATCGTCCTGCGTTCCTCTCTTTTCCTGTTCTTCGATATCCTTCCATTTCTCCTTGATCACGTCCCCCGTCAACAAATGAACGGTATCAAGCAACTTCTGTTGCACTTTGGCGAGTTTTGTGAATTTGAACAATTGGTCCGGGCGTATAGAGATGTCGTAGTGTCGTCGATGTAAGATATCACTCAGTCTGCAGCATTTGAGACACGTATTCGTGTGGGAAAGAGGGAGAAAGAGAAGCTTTTTCGTATATGGGAAACAATAAAATGTTTACTCAAAAAAAGATATAAACATTATCATTAGCAGAATCCTCTTATATAGGATATTTCACGAGATAACATATACTTATTTCATGTAGGTGGGTCAAACTGAACAAAAAGTTCTTCTACCGTTTCGCGAATAATTACATGAAATATTTAATTATAGGTAATTAATTAAAGAAGATTGGCGAATATGATTGTGCATGATACTAGGAAGAGAATTCTCCTAAACCCAAGAGCAACATGTTTTAAGCACAATATTCTTAAAGTTAGAAAAATGTCATCTATTATTTACAGATCTTGCTTGACGCATCTCTCGCGCATAAAAGGTATTCAACTTTAAATTAACATATTCTTCTTGAATTAAAAAAAAAATTATCATAGTGTTTAGTTTCGATTAATCGATTAATATTATTAGTAGAGAAGTATTTTTTCGATAAGTTTGGTTTAGAATATGGGATTACAGAGATTTATGCTGTGCAACTAAAGTTTCTTTTAACCTTTTGTGTTACAAATTTCTCCTTACAAACGATGCACTTGAACCTTATTACTCGGGGGTTTTGGGGTCGCTGATTGCGAATCTGAACTCAAAATTTTGAAATTCAAAATGACGGATTCAATATAGCGGATAAAAATGTGAAAAATATCTTGATTAGAATAAAACTTGACACTCGCGTGCAATAAGCAAGCATTCTTTATTTTTCATAATTCCAATGATGTTTAAGAAATATAAAAATATCAAATTTGCTAAATAAATCATTTAAACTCTATGAAAATATAATAAAATGTGAATAAATGTAAATGGATCTCTGGGTGACCCGTTGTGACTCTAAGGGTTAAGCTATATATGAGCTACATATATAAAAAGATTCTGCTAAGAATAAGATTATATTTTTTGGATGTTATGTGTGTAATTTTGAAATAGAATAACAACGCTTACTTCATCACGGCCATTGCATATTCGTAACTAGTGTTCTGCCTCCTTTTTCTACTAACTCCCATCGCAGTTTCCGTCAAGATATCAACAGTAACCGCCGATAAGTAATCATGGCAATCGAACTCCTGACCAACCTTATCGCGAAGTCGATTCACGAGGTCTAAGCTATTCTGGTAAAATAAAGGTACAAATGTCTTCAGGATGCTCATGTGGAATGTAGGAACTATCGCCTTCCTATGTTTACGCCATTTGGCACCGGTAGTGATCAGCAAGCCATCTCCGAGCCACGGTTTAAAGAGTCTATAGCGCAACGATGAGGATGATTTTAGGTTAGACGTACAAGGCTACTTTGAAATTACTGATTCCTTACCTATACTCCACGGACTTGTCGAGATGGACGGTGCTACCCAAGATTATCTCGATGTCTTGCGGATCTGTTAGGAAGACAAAACCTCTTGGTCCTAAGTGTGCCGATACGACTGACCCATATTGTTGGATATAGTCAAAGGCTTTGTGTAGTATAGTTTCGGGATCTACTTTCAAACTTATTAAAGCATGGCCTAGGATAGGTACACGTGGTGGATCTGGAAAAAGGCAAATGGAAAATTTATCGTGTGTCCATTACTTCAATCGATTATAAATCGTGTGCGACGCGAAACGCATCGGTAGAGAGCCCATGTGACATCAAAGTCAAAGTTTTTATTACTGAAATGTTTTTATAATATTTCAGTAAATTAAATTTTTTCGTAAGGTGATACAATGCTGTAACAATTTTCTCTCTAATTTTTAATCTTTATCTCTGTCGGAGAGAGTAGCACATTAACTAAAACTAAAACGTTAGCTTAAGATGGTAAGATAATTATATTTTAATAAATATCAAAATCTTAATTTAACTACAAAGCAACTTTTAATTGACCAAGAAAACCTTGCATTAATTTTCGGGTTTTTAAGGTTTATTAGAAGTCCTGGAAAATAAATTTTAAGGTCTTGATAACAACGCTAATCCATCTTTAGCAATATAATTAAGAGCTTAAGTTTAATATAGCTTTATTGTTTTATGTTATATGGAAGATATCAGTATTTGTCGAGCCCTGGGACTATGTGAGTCTCTTACGTACTTGGTAACTTCAGCAGAAGACGAACTTCACGTCTGGTTTCGATGTAGAAGTACAAGGCGATCAGTGTGATGATGAACAGAGCGAAAAAAGAGTAACCTATATTTGGCAAATACGTCGTCAATATCGAATCCATTTTTGCATCCAATTGTTGATATATCTTTAGATATGATGCGTTCTATTTTCCTTTTTCTCTGTTTTCGTGTATAAAAATTATATCAGATTATTGTGAGGACACTACTTTATAGAGTATCCGAAAGATCCTCCCGTGATCGTTACCACTATTTAGCTTTCGAAACTCACAAGCTTCCGCGATGCAACGCGAACTGCGTTGCTCTACTTTACGTGCTGCCAATTTATAAATCTGTTGTCAGGATATGGAAAAATTGCACTTTACCTTTACCTTTCTGAATTATGCAGTGACCTCTCGAATTTTTGATGTGTCATATTCATATTGAATCGTGATTTGCATCGCTATACGTTCGTAGAATGTGAAAATTGTGTCATTTCATATCATTGCGAGCTCGATTTGATTCTCTGTCAACAACGCAAGTTAAATAGTATTGCTACGCGAGCACTCGCAGGTAATTAATTGAAATATAGCAATTAATGGGGAGCAGCTGCGAATATAAAATATGTTTTCGAGGCAAGGGAAAGATAGAAGGTTTCTGAGAATCGACCGAAACAGACAACTATTTCCGAGTTCTGTAATAAATTATAATTTATTTATCTAAAACTGTATTCTAATGTACTTGCGTAGTGAAAAGCATTACTAGACACAAATCGCAGTGTTGCATTGTTTTTGCGCAATCTGCGTTAAACTTTGCCGTATAGAGAGATAGCTCAGCAGAAAGTGACCGGCAGAAAGCAACCGGACGTGGTATAACAATAGGAACATTGCTTCTCTAGAGATTTATTTTTTGGTAATAGAGAAAAAAATTAAATCACCTTTAAAAATAATAAAACTTTTAAAAAATATGAAATCATTTTAGCTCAATATTCCTATGTATCTACAATCGTATCCTAATATTTTAATAATATTAGAAAACGTGGAAACTTGAATAAGTCAATATTCCAATAGCCAAATGTTTACACGATGATCGTATGTGCGCGCATACATGCTGTCATTGTGTTATCTAGATGCAGCAGCATATGACAAGTACAGTGATAGCATAACATATTGACATGTCGTGCGTGTATTATGAAAGCTCTGTGCATCTTAAAATGACAGATTGCGGCACTGCGTGATGACGCCGTCCGCATATTTTCTGCTTTCGATATCAAATAGCACAAAACAAAGAAAAGCTTGCATGACGTGCTGAACACAGCGCTAACGTGCAGGCACGCTTGGTTATCGGGGTATATATAGATACATATAGATATTTACCAAGTAAAGACGATCGCCAAATAGGCACTGACATGATGTCGCTGTCTCTTTACTTTTTTTCATATATGCATCATTTCTACATATAGATATGTGAATGCGTTGTTGACCATATTCCAGTACTCGTATTTGCATCAAAATATATCATTTTCGAAAATACACTTTTGCAAACGCCAAAATTATTTTAAAAAACTGTAAAAAATTATATGCCAGAATCTATTCTAAATGCTAACACTATATGACCTAAATAACTTGCAATAACATGACCGACCTTCGGCTCATGCGCGAGAATTAGACATTCCTACGATGCTACGTTGGATATAGCGTTATGGACGCGACTTTGAGCTATTGGAAAATTATTTTCAAGATACTGAGTGTGTTACTGAAGGAGTAGAGTGGTACTGACGCACATTGTCATCCGGGAGACGATGTAGATCACACTTGATATCATTTTCGAAAATACATCTTTGCAAACGCGAAAATTCCTTTTAAAAATTGTAAAAAATTATCCCAGGTTTAACTAACTTGGCTTAATAAATTAGCGAAGACTCAAAACACATCGGCTCGAATCTCGGCTTAATAGTTTAGCGGAGTCTCAAAACACTCGAATCCGATTCTCGGCTTAATAATTTAGCGGAAAACCGAAACATTTCGGGTCGAATCTTGGCTTAATAATTTAATTTGTTGCCTTTAATTTGTCAAAATTTAATTTTTTCGTCTTGTTAACAACAAACGCGTGTGCATAAGAAAATATTCCTGAAGTGACAGTAGGTCGTATATAATACAACATAATAAGTTATAAATTGAATTAATAATCAAATAGTATATATACACCATACATAGAATGTATATAAAACATATATAGAATATAAAAAAGAAATATGACATATACAGAGCATATAAATATGACATGTTGAAATATATCAGTTTAATGTATCTTCAAGAAATAATCCGAAGAAAGCTTGTCGATTCGAAATTTCAATTGGCCATTGTTATACAAGAATGATCCAATTCAAAAAATTATAAGATTGTATCAATAGATATTTCATTTACATCTTTTTACACAAAACGAGAAAAATTCAAGCTTTATGGACGCTTGAAATAAATTAAGAAACAGTTTTTTTATTTTTTAATAGTCGCGTCTTTTTCGCACATTTTTCTAAGGATTGAGCTAGTCACTATTCTTAAAGAAATGGAAATGCTTGACTCGTTGAACAATTGCGAAAACTTCAGAGCTAAATTCTTTGGTTGGATTATTCTTACGTAACTCCAGCGAACTGTAAATTCCAATTCTTACTTTACTTCCCGTCGGATCCAATGCGACTTACGTCTATGTGCATGCAATCTACGTAAAGTAACGCTTTGTGTCTACTATATGAGCGTCTAAATTGGACACTCACCACTTGTGCATCGTCCCACGGTGTTCAGGGTCCACCAGTCATCCCATCGTTGCATCTGACGCTGCAATGGTCCTCATGTCGCCTGTAATTCACTCCCGACCGCGGTAATCTAACGGAGGTTTCGTGAAAAATCCCTCTTGGAAGATATACTCAGAGTTTCGAGTTGCGAATCGCGTATGGAATATCGCGAAATGCGTTTTCGAGAAAAAGTCGGCCTTTCGGATAAACGACAAGTATGTACAACGAATTCGGTTTGATTGGTTTTATCAATCGATAGTGTATCGCTTTGATATACGCGCGAAACGAAGGCTGATTTCGCTAAATCTTTCGACGCGTGGGCGAAGTAATCGTGCGAGATTCTCATGTACGAGAATCTCATGTACGGAATATCCCTAATGTAACGTTTCGATAGAGTAGCGTAGTAGGCTGCAATACAGCTCCGCAATATTTTTTGCGGATAACAGCTTCGCAATACTTTTGCGAAGACAATTCCACAATATTATTGCGGGTAACAGCTCCGTAATACTTTTGCAAAAACAATTTCGCAATGTTTTTGCAGGTAACAACTCCGCAATATTTTTATAAAGTTCGCTCTCGACTTGTAAATATGGACCGGTGAAATTCGCAAACCTATCAAGTTAATAATCGCGAAGGCGAGCGTGAGTGAAAAATAAAAAACTATGAAAATTACAACAATGGAGATAAAAATTTATTCAAAATTCACGCGGAAAATATGTTATTACCCTGTGAGGTGCCTGTCTTTACTTTTCGATGGAATTCGTCGCACGACGCGTAAATAAACAAACAATTGCTCGCATACCTGACTTGTATACATCGTCTTTTTACGCGAGGGATCAACACTCGCTAGCATTGTCTATCTTCCGTTAGGAAACTCTAATTCTAAGTGAAAAATCGAACTCTGTATTTTATGAAATACAATCGCAACGCAAGCTCACGCGAGAGAGAAAATTGAGAAAATTAACGACTGATTTATTGACGCGGGTGATATGATCGCGCATTTTCTGTGGAGCAATCTCTGTGGCGCAATCTCTGCGCGTTGGTGCATTGATCAAGACATCTGGAAGATCGTATTGATTAAAACTAAATAATTTTAAAAAATTTTGAATTCAGAGCGTATACTCGATACTTTAATAGCATCTGCCAGACAGTGTTAGCGTTTAATTAATCAAAATTTTCCTCAACAAAAATGATTGACTAATCAATAATCTAAATTAGTCAAACAATTAATAAATATATATATACATTGGGAGAAAAATACTTAAAAATTTGCCAAATTTATGTCAATAAATTGCAATTTATGTTAGCAATTTGTCGCACATATCCGTCGTTTGTCCGAAAGGCCGATTTTCTCGAAGAAGCAGTTCACGATATTTCATACGCAATTCGCAAATCGGAGTATATTTCCCAAGAGAGACGGGATTTTTCGTGTAACCTCCGTTAGATTACCGCGATCGGGAGTGAATTACAAGCGACGTGGGACGCGAGAACCATTGCAGTGTGAGATGCAGCGACAGGATGGCTGGTAGATCTTGAAAACCGTGGGACGACGCGCAATGGTGAGCGCTCAATTTAGACGCTCATATAGTAGAAACAAAGCGTCACTTTACGTAGATTGCATGCATGTAGACGTAAATCGCATTGGGTCCTAGGGGAAGTAAAGTAAGAATTGGAATTTGCAATTCGCCGGAGTTACATAAGAATGTTTCAACTAAAGAATTTAGATTTGAGATTTTCGCAATAGTTCAACTAGCATCAAGCATCGGTCAAGCATTTCTTTAAGAGTATTGACTAGCTCAATCCTTAGAAAAATATGCAAAAAGACGCGACTGATAACAAATAAAAATTCTGTTTCTTAATTCATTTCAAGCATCTATAAGCTTGAACTTTTTTGTTTGGTTTAAAAAGATGTGAATGGAGAGAGTATTCATTGCTAAAAGCTTATATTTTTTTAATTGGATCACTTTTGCATAACAATGGACAATTAAAATTTCGAACCGGCAGGCTTCCTTCTCATCGGATTATTTCTTGATGACACATTAAAATGATATATTTCAACATGTCATATTTATATGTTATATATACTATTTTTATACTGTATATTTTATACATACCTTATGTATACTCTATTTACACTATTTGATCAATATACTTGATAACATGTTAGGTCGTATTATATACGACATACTGTGTCTTTGGAGATATATTTTATCCATACGCGTTTGTTATTCACAAGATGACAAATTAAATTTTGACAAATTAAAGACAACAAATTAAACTATTAAACTGAGACGGGAACTGAACAGTTTCGATTTCTCGCTAAATTATTAAGTTCAAGTTCGAACCCGAGAGTTTTGAGATCCCGCTCAACTATTAAGCCGAGATTTGAACTGAGTCTTGAGTTTTGAATCTTCGCTAATTTATTAAGCCGAATTAGTTAAACCAGGGATAATTTTCTAAAGTTTCTGAAACAAATTTTCGCGTTTGCAAAGATGTATTTTCGAAAATGACGCAAAGTGTGCGTATTTCGCTTTGTAACATCTCCTGGATGTCAATATGTGTTAGTGTCACTCTATTCCTTCAGTATCACTCCCAGAATCTTGAAAATAATTTGTCATTATCCTAAAGTCGTGCTCATAAAGTTAGATTCATTCATTATATTCGGGTTCTCACGCATGTGCAGCGATACCTATTCTTCACTTGGATCGAAAGTCTCATGTTACTGCAGGTCATATGTTAGGTCATATAGCGTTAGCATGTAGAGCACATTCTAGGATAATTTTTCACAGTCTTTTAAAGTAATTTTTGCGTTTGTGGGAGTTCAATTTTGCACAAGACGTCAATTGGGCATATTTCGTTCTGCATCGTCTTTTGAATGACAATGTGCGTTAATATCACTCTAATCACTGAGTAACACGCCCATAATCTTTAAAATAATTTTACAATAGCCAAAGTCCCGTTCATAACGTTGGATCCAACTTAGCGTCGTAAGAATGTCGGATTCTCAGACATGGGACGAGAGTCGGTCATGTTACTGTAAGTTATTTAGATCATATAGTTTTAGTATCTAGAGCATATTCTGGGATAATATTTTACAGTTTTTTAAAGTAATTTTTGCGTTTGCAAGTATGTATTTTCGAAAATACATATATTTGGATGAAAACGACTATTGGAATATCGGCAATAATGTATTCACGTATCTATATGTATAAACAATACATATATGAAAAAAAGTAAATGGACAGCGACATCATGTCAGCGCCTATTTAACGGTCGTCTTTACTTGATAAATACCCTAATAATCAAATGTTTGCACAATAATCGCAAAGTGTGCGTATGCATGCTATCATGTTGTCCAGATGCAGTAGCATATGACAAGCACAGTGACAGCGCAACATATTGACGTCATGCGAGTATATATATATATATATATATATATATATATATATATATATATATATATATGTATACACACACACACACACACACACATACATATACATATTCATTATTATTCGGATTTATTAGTAAATATATGTTTAGGACAGAGCTTATAAGTTTAAAGCCGGTGTCATATTTTACACATTACGGATTGTAAGCAAACACAATCCCAGATAGCCAAACCTGTGCGAGCAGATTTGCACAGAGTCTGTCAAC